GGTATTTCATGTAAAGAGTAGGAGACAATACTGTTAACATTTTTCCTATTTCACTTAGCACAGTGTGTTTAAGGAATTGCCATGATGCAGCATGTCAGACCTCTGTTCCTTTTTGTAGCTGAAGAATATTCCATTACAATTACAGGTGGATACTGCATTTTATTTATCTGTTGATGGACATTAGGGTGGTTTGTACCTTTTTGGTTATTGTGAAATTGATGTACAGGCAGTGTGTGTGTGTGTGTGTGTGTGTGTGTGTGTGTGTGTGTGCGCAGATAATGCTTGAACTCAAGGCCTGAGTCACTTCCAGTTTTCTGGTGGTTAACTGGAGATAAGAGTCTCATGGACTTTTCTGCTTGGGCTGGCTTTGAACTGTGGTCCTCAGTCAGCCTCCTGAGTAGCTAGGATTATAGGCATGAGCCACCAGCCCCTGGTTGACAAATCTCTTGTTTTAAGAATCCAATTACTGAGCTAGTCTGGTTGTGATTTAAATTCACATGTCTGCTGCAGTTCTGTTCTGCAGCTGAGCGTAAGAAGTTCTTGAGCCAAGCTCCTCGTTTTATACCCGAATTTTCTCTGTCATACTGTAGCCTAATTTTCTCCTAAAACAAGATGGCCATTTTCAGCTTGAGGCCCTCCTTCCTCACCCTCCCTTTTCATGATTAGACACCTCTCAAGCTCTAGTTTCTCTCCACTGCTCCAGGGACAGAGACCTTTTCTATCAATCCCGTGTGCCCATTGATCTGTAAGATATGGTGTGTGTGTGGGGGGGGGGGGGGGAGGGGGTCACATCCTATAGGCCATCTTGGCTGGCCCTGTGGCTCCCGCCTGTCATGGCGGAAGAGGCTCCAGGTGGCCTGGGGCTGTGAAGCAGATAGACTGGTCTGTCCCCCGGCTATGCTGAGTAGCCCAGCCTCACCCCTGCAGACATGCTTCATGCAGCAGAATCATGTTGGAATAAGTCCAGATTCTTTGGAGTGGGCCATTGTGAAGAGTGGAGTGCTCAATACTTGTGTCCAATGCACAGCCAGTCTTGATACCTTCATACCTATTTGATCAAAGAAAATAGTGGGGGGCGGAGAGGAGTCTGTTAACTGCCCCACCATGCTCATGCAGCACGAATCGTTTTGGCCCAAGAGGAAAAAAGAAAGATGTTTGATTGGGGGGGGAGGGCGGGAATTCAGGCTCAAACTCAACCCTATGAGCCTTTGGATTTGGGCACCTTGTCAATGAAAGCTTGGAGGCTTTTTTGTTGTTTTTTTTTAAGCTGTGAAGTAACCAAGAGATAGAGGAACAAAGGATGCAAAGGCAACAAGAGAGGTCAGATTTCAAGAGAGAAAAGCTGGCTTTCTGCTCTCAAACAAAGCCAAGACCACTTGATCTCTAATACTTGGGTTTATGACAAGAAAATTTGCAGTTCCAGGGTAGAAGTGGGGGATAAAGTAGAATGTCAGACACCCCTTGGTGCGTTTATCCAAGAACTGGCAGAGATATTGAAGTGGCCGGAAGCCACTGTGGTGCGGACATGATGGAGTCACTCTTGAGGATGGACTATGAAGATCCTGAAATCAGCATCCCTGTTGCCATGGAGACAGTGAGCCATCTGGAAGGGACCTATCACACACACACACACACACACACACAGATCCTGTCACGAGTTGGGCTGTCTGCTTCATCCATCCACTGCCCTGTCAGCCTGCTTATGCACAACTACGTGTAGACTTACCAAGGGCAACTAGATGATTGCTATTGTTGATTAAATTGTAATTTCAGGGGCACTGAAATCACTAGGAATGCTGAACCTAGCAAGTTGATTGGAAGAACAGTGACTTTGGTGTTTCTTCATCTGCTTGATACATTCTGCTCCCATCAAAACAATATGGGTGGTTTCGTTAGGACATTTGCTTATTGAACACACAGGATGGAGTAGTCAATGCCAGGGATCAGACAGGGTATCTCTTTGTTTCTTCCAGCTTATGAATTGGAGATGTGGACGTGGTATATGAGTATAAATAAGTTCTCGCATTTACTTACTCTTTGGTATTGACCAACTTTTTTTTTGGCCAGTCCTGGAGCTTGAACTCAGGGTATAGGCGCTGTCCTTGGGCTTGTTCACTCAAGGCTAGTGCTCTATCACTTTGAACACAGCTCTGTTTCTGGTTTTCTGGTGGTTCGTTGGAGATGAGAGTCTCATGGTCTTCCCTGCCAGGGCTGGCTTCAAACTACAATCCTTAGATCTCAGCCTCTTCAAAACCTAGGATTATAAGCTTGAGCCACTGGCACCTGGCTTAGACCAGTTTTGAAGTGAAAACTAAACCACAGATGTGTGTTTTCTCATGGTACCAGAGGCAAAAGTCCAAGTTGAAAGCAGCAGCATCTTCTCCCTGGGTCTCATAGCCAAGCCCCTGGATGTGTCTATGTCCGGTTCTCTGCTTATAAGACACCAATTCTGTTGAGATAGCACTCACCTATTCCCATATTGCTTCTATAAACGACCTGTCTCTGAATATGGACCTCTTTTGAGGTAATAGGTTAGGACTTGAATATTTGATTTGGATGGGGACCTATTTAGCTCATAGTAGTTTCTAGAAATCCTCCTTGTCTCCCCCTCCAGTTGCAAAGGAAAGCAGGCATCCATGCCCTGGGCATACACAGATCTCAATGTATATGATTATGACAATATTACTCTGCAGCTCTGAATTCCCAGAGACAGACTGCCCAACTGTTTCTGAACCATGTACAGTACATTTTTTTTCTTAAGAGAGAAAGAATAATAAACAGAGACAGAATATTTTAAGTCCTGTTTTTTCTCATCTGCCAAGAATAATTGTGGTGTTCTCCGGAGTCCACTGGCTTCCCAGCCATCTTGTACCCTGTATCTATCTTCTGGCTTCAAGAGAATTCACAAAGCTTTAAATAAACAAGAGGCTCTGATACACAGCCTTGCTCTGTAAATAGACAGTCCTTTCAGCCCAAGGAGGAGGGTGCAGAAACTTCCAGAAGAACCTTTTGAAAGTAGCATTCTTGGGGGCTGGGAAGGTGGCTCAGTGGTAGAGCGCTTGCCTTGCATGCATGAGGCCTTGGGTTCAATCCCTCAGCACCACATAAGCAAAAAGAAAAAAGCCGGAAGTGGCACTGTGGCTCAAGTGGTAGAGTACTAGCCTTGAGCTGAAGAGCTGAGGGACAGCGCCCAGGCCCAGAGTTCAGGCCCCACAACCAGACCCCCCCCTCCCCCCCAAAAAAAAAGAAAGTAGCATTCTTTGGGACAGGGCTATCGTTCAGTGGTAGAACATTTGCTTAGCATTCATGAGACCCTGGATTTGATCTCAGGTGCTACAAAATAAACTTGAAAAGAATAGCATTTTAATCTCAATTATTGTCTCTAAGTCCTTTCATTATACTTGATGCATTGCGAACTAGGAGAGATTTGAGAACATATCTTGACAGCTTTGTTTTTGCGTAGGTTGTGGTGGTGGAATAGGAATTTTAAAACTTCAATGTATATCCTCCAAAATGAAGAAAAGTAAGGGGACGGGGTAGATTGGAACTGGAGAGATAGATGAGAATGTGGAAAGGGGTGATAGGGATTAAGACACATTTCATTCATAAACTGCTTTGTTGAATGCCACCTCCTTTGTATAAGTACTTCAAGACATTTTTTTTGGTGCCAGTTCTGGGGTTTGAACTCAGGGCCTGGGCACTGTCCCTGAGCTTCTTTTGCTCAAGGCTAGCACCCTACCACTTGAGCCACAGCGCCACTTCTGGCTTTTTCTGTTTATGTGGTACTAAGGAATCGAACCCAGGGTTGCAAGCATGTGAGGCAAGCTCTCTACCACTAAGCTATATTCCCAGCCCTAAAGACAAATTTTGAAACTTTAAAAAAAAAAAAGAATTTCCTAGAATGGTGTTAACAGTGTTTATGAACTTTCGTGATCTAGCTCCCATACTTTTTTTCCCCTATGACGTATATGTGTGAAAAAGTTCACTTTTTTTGACCGTCATGGGGCTTGAACTCAGAATCTAGAAGCTGTACCTTCAGCTCAAGGCTAGTGCTGTACTATTTGAGCCACAGCACCACTTCCGGTTTTCTGGTGGTTTATTGGAGATAAGTCTCACACACTTTCCTGCCTGGTCTGGCTTTGAACTGTGATCCTCAGATCTCAGCCTTCTGAGTAGTGAGGATTACAGGCATGGAACATTGTTGCTCAGCTCGGTTCAGTGTTTGACCATTGAAAAAGTTAGAATGGCAGTCTGTGGGCTGATTGAAAGGAAATACTTTAGCTAAGCACTGGTGGCTCACACCTGTAATCCTATCTACTCAGGAGGCTGAGATCTGAGGATTGAGGTTCGAAGCCAGCCTGGGAAGGAAAGGCTATGAGACCCTTATCTCCAATTAATCACAGAAAAAGCCAGAAGTTCAGCTATGGCTCTAGTGGTAGAGTGCTAGCCTTGAGTAAAGGAGCTCAGGGAGAGCACCCAGGCCCTGAGTTCAAGCCCCATGATAGACCAAAAAAAAAATCCTTTAATCATACTCAGTTATGAATACTAAACCCACAGTGTGTTTCTTACATTTCCTTCCTTTCTTTATCCTTAACCTTCCCTCAGATCTGATTTCTTTATAAGGAGCAAAGCATCTATCAAAGACAAAACTACATTAATTGTCACTTTGAAGGTGCATCATGATCATTTTTTGTACCTTTACTGAGGCTCCAACTCGGGCCTGGCACTGTCATTTAATTTTTGTTGTCTTTGCTGAAGGCTGGCATTTGGCCACTTGACTCACAGCTCTCTTTGGGGCCTTTTGATGGTTCACTGGAGATAAGAGTCTCATAGACTTTCCTGCCTGGGCTGGCTTCAAACTGCGATCCTCACATCTCAGCCTCCTGAGTAGCTAGGATGATGGGCGTGAGCCACCAGCACCTGGCATTACAAGTCTCTATTTGAACAGAACAGCTGGAGCCCAGATTTGTTTCTCTAATGTATACATCCCATTATTCTAGGTCTCCGAATTCAATCCCTTGACCTTCACCAGTGTCATCGAGTGCGAGAAACCGAACAATGACCTAACTCGGTTCCGAGGTTGCATGTGAGTACTCTGCCTCATTCTGTGCCTGTCCTTCTTTTCAAGAAAACACACACTTTATAAGATGGGCCTTCTGAATATTCTTGGTCATTGCGGGGTGGGAGTGAGCTGCTTGGACAGCTGAGCAATCTCAACTACTAAGGTTGACTGTTTAGTAAAAATCCATAATCAGCAGCCAGGCACTCATGGTGGCTTATGCCTGCCATCCTAGCTATTCAGGAGGATCTAAGGATCGTGGTCCGAAGCCAGCCTGGGCAGAAAAGTCCCTGAGACTCTGACCTCCAATAAATTACTTTGAATTAGCCAAAAGTAGCACTGTGGTTCAAGTGATAGAGTGCTTGCCTTGAGCGCAAAGTGGCTCAAGGACAGGGCCCGGGCCTTGAATTCAAGCACCAGGACTGACCAAACAAAAAAAAAGTATCCAATCAGCAGATGACCTTAAGAGACCCACAAGGACAGATAGGGATTAGTAGCAGCTGAGTTATCACCATAAGGCTACTGGAGGGACACGTCAGGACAGTTTGCCATTGTTCCTTTACAATAGGAAGCAGAGAATGAACTCCGTCACTTCTTGCACTCATCATTCCCAACATTTCCATTGGATGGACTCAACCCAAAACCAAGGTCATGCGGCCCAAAGCCAAGGTCATGGCAATGTTCAGCATTCACTCGATGCAGAAAGACACCTCAGTGATGCACAATAGAATACAACACAAGGATCTCTAACTATAGGTCCTGGTGCTTAGCTCAGTGAATATTCCTGAAGGCTGGAAAACTTTACTTCACCCTTGGGAGGGTGGAGATTCCCCCCAGCCTGGGGTAAACCTGGCGTGACCGTGGCTTGTAGCTGGCTGGTACAGAAAGCTTTCCAGAAAGAGTTTACATAGGTGCTACCCTGTAGACTGAGCCCCCCCCCCCACACCAAGCCAGAGGAATCAAGGGGCCAAGAATGCTTACAGAACTTAACAAAGAAGAAGGGTCTATAATTTCATTGGTTTTACCTTCATGATATTGAGTCATGTCATCATGGAGCCTTAACTCTGAGCCTTAACTGTCCTTCAGCCCTTCAGCTCAAGGATAGCGCTCTACCACTTGAGCCACAGTGCCACTTCTGGCTTTTTCTGCTTATGTGGGGCAGAGGAATAAAACCCAGGACCTCGTGCAGGCAAGGCAAGCACTCTACCACTGAGCCACCTTCCCAGCCCCGAGTCATGTCTTGCATAAGCCGGGACCTTTTCCACTATTGGCTTCAGACTCTCATGCTCAGAAATCCAAGGTAGCTTTTGAGCTACTGAGGGCTGGATCCCTACTCCAAGCAGCCTTCCTTCCACTCCTGATTTTGGGAAGGGCTGTTCATATAGAGGTACAGCCCCATTCCCTGTACCTGCTGCCAGTCCTTGAGACTGTGGTCCATCTAAGGGGTTGTCAGTGAGCTTGGTGTAATGAGTTTCTACCTGATATAGTTGGATGAGAAAAATCACAGTACAGGGATGGGGGTATGGTTCAGTGGTAGAGTGCTTGCCTAGCATCGATGAGGCCCTGGCTCAGATTCCAAGCATAGCAACACGCGAATACACATTCACACCAAAACAGACAGAACTGTACTGTCATTCCTCTGTACCAGATGCATTGGTTTTCTTTTTCTTTTGGGTCCGGTCATGGGGCCTGAACTCTGGGCCTGGGCGCTGACCCTCAGCTCTTCAGCTCAAGGCTAGAACTCTACCACTTGAGCCACACACCACTTCCGGCTTTTTTCTTTTTGCTTATGTGGTGCTGAGGAATTGAACCCAGGGCCTCAGGCATGCAAGGCAAGCGCTCTACCACTGAGCCACCTCCCCAGCCCCCAGATGCATTGGTTTTCAAGACCACTTACTGATACCAAACCCTATAAATACTCAAATTCCTTATGTAAAATGGTGTGGCATTTCCACACGGTCTCTGCACGCCCTTCTGTAATACTTTAAATGGTCTGTAGATGACTTACGATACCTAATGCAATGTAAATGCTATGTAAATATTTGTCATGCTCTCTTGCTTAGGGAATAAGGCCAAGAAAAAAATAGAATGTACATGTTCAGTACAGGTGAATTATTTTTTCTCCATGTATCTTCCATCTGGTAGATGCAAAGGGCTGGCTGTAGCTACTTGAAAAAAATTGTGCCATATCAAAGACAGCTTAATCTGGAATGTTGGTCTTACTTCGTTGCTCCTGCTAAGGATGAGTGGAAACCGAGATGATTTGTGGGTTTTTTGTTGTTGTTGTTGTGGTTGAAGGTTTTTTGTTTGTTTGTTTGTTTTTGTCGGTTGTGGGGCTTGAACTCTGGGCCTGGGCACTGTCCCTTAGCCCTTAAGCTCAAGGCTAGTGCTGGACCACTTTGAGCCACAGCGCCACTTGCAGTTTTCTAGGGGTTTATTGGAGATAAGAGTTTCACAGACTCCTCCTGGGGCTGGCTTTGAACCGTGATCCTCAGATCTCAGCCTCCTGAGGAGCTAGGATTATAGGCGTGAGCCACCAGCAGCCAGCTGGTTGTGTGTTTTTTTTAATTTTCATTTATTTATTTATTTTTTACTGCTGCAGAGAGATTTCTACTGAGAGAAATGTGACCATCATGTCCTCTTACTTGAAAATGTGGAGCAGGACTTGGTGTCTAGCCATGTTTCTGACAGGCTGCTCTTTGATGCTTCACCTGGCAGTGAGGCTTTTCAGCCTTGAATCACTTTTTCAGGTCAAGCCTTACACTGTCTGGGAATTAATTGCCAGTGTCAACCATCCACACAATGCTGGCTGAGCGATCTCCTGCAGTTCCCTTTGCATTTGCTCTGCAGAAAACTGGCATTCTAGCCTCAATTTTATGATCAGCTTCTCCTCTATGCCGGAAAATAGGGTGATTTCTGTGGTCAGTGTGCAGGAGGCTAGGACCCGGCAGGAGGGAATTTCTTCAAAGGTCTCTGGTGAGCTTTCAAGAATAAGAATGACTGAGGGAGGAAGCATTTGGATGATGGGTTTGTGGGCAGGCAGGCACACACAATCTGTCTATTCAGAGTTATGAAAAGAAGCTTTTTGGAAGGTTCTTCTGTGGTAAGCACTGTTTGGGGAAGGTTAGGCCAGGCTCCTGCTGTGCTTCTGGAAGCTTCCAAGGCCTCTCCCTCTGTATGACCTGTGCAACTCAGACTGAGGCTCTCCTAATGTGTTCCTAGCATTGGGCTCTTGTGGCCAAGTGCATAAATTTGAGAATTTCTGGCTTCATTGCTGACTAACTTGTTAATCTACATACTAGTGAAACAATTTTTTTTAATTATCTATTTTTTTTGTTTTTCTTTTCTTTTTTTTTGTGCTTGACCTAGAGCTTGAACTCAGGGCCTGGATGCTGTCCCTGAGCTTCTTTTTTGCTCAAGGCTAGTGCTCTACCGCTTGAGCCACAGCTCCCCTTCAGGCTTCAAACTTTCTGGTGCTTCATTGGAGTTACCAGTCTCATTCACTTTCCTGCCCAGACTGGCTTTGTGGAGTGCGATCCTCAGATCTCAGCACCGTGAGTAGCTAGGAGTATAGGCCTGGGTCATTTTTACATTTTTACTATCGTTTTTAGGATCGATTTTTACGGCCTTTTTATTATTTTTAATTTCACCTTTAAATCCATTTTCAGTATCCCTAAGTAGCTGTACAAAGGGATTCCAATTCGACACGCCAGTGTGTGAGTCCAGTGCATTTTGATCAGTGTCAGCCCTTGCATCCTTCTCCCCCATCTCCCCAAGCCCACCATCCCCTGTTTTCCTAGTTTCCTAGGCTCTGCATTGAATGTGATGATGACGCCCCTCTCCTCCTGTCTTCACTGTGAACCCCTCTCCCTTTCGGGATTAGTAACATCCTCTTTTCTAGAGGCGTCTTGCTGTGTTTGTGCCAATATGAGACGCTGATTGAAAGTAATACTTGCCCTGCAGAGAAGGCCGTACCGAGCCAGGGCCCTTCTCGTTTCCCCGCTCTGTGGGCCTCGGTAACGGGATTGGTTCCTGGAAGGAGGAGGAGGCCTTGTCACGGGCGCTGGCCGCTCAGGCCTGGAACCCTCACCGCTCTGCTGGAGGCCGCGAGGTAGTGACTGCGCGGCCGCGTGGCGCCGCGTGCGTGGCCGCGCCAGCGTGCGTGGCCGCGTGACGTCACGCGCACGGCCACGTGGCGCCGCGGTCGGTCACGTCGTGCGTGCCCCGTTCCTCCCCAGCATTCACGAGAACGGGAAGAAGGCCGGGCTGCATAAGGAGAACCTGTTGCTCCGAGGCTGCACCATCCGGAACACGGAGGCCGTGGCTGGCATCGTGGTCTACGCAGGTGGGTGCGGCGCCCGGGCCTCGTGTGCGTGTGATCACGTAAAGCTCACACGACAGAAGTACATGTGATAGAGTGTATAACGTATAACGCATTGCACATGCTACAGCAACATACTACTATATCATGTATAACACACTACTATATCATGTATAACAACATACCATTATATCATGTATAATGCATAATATAATACATTATAACAGACTACTATATCATGTATAACAACATACTATTATATCATGTATAACATACTATTATATCATGTATAATAACATACTATTATATCATGTATAACACACTACTATATCATGTATAACAACATACCATTATATCATGTATAATGCATAATATATAATACATTATAACATACCATTATATCATGTATAATAACATACCATTATATCATGTATAACAACATACTATTATATCATGTATAACAACATACCATTATATCATGTATAATAACATACCATTATATCATGTATAACAACATACTATTATATCATGTATAACATACCATTATATCATGTATAATAACATACCATTATATCATGTATAATGCATAATATAATACATTATAACAGACTATTATATCATGTATAACAACATACTGTTATATCATGTATAACAACATACTATTATATCATGTATAACATACTATTATATCATGTATAATAACATACTATTATATCATGTATGACATACTATTATATCATGTATAATAACACACTACTATATCATGTATAACACACTACTATATCATGTATAACAACATACCATTATATCATGTATAATGCATAATATAATACATTATAACAGACTACTATATCATGTATAACAACATACTATTATATCATGTATAACAACATACTATTATATCATGTATAACATACTATTATATCATGTATAATAACACACTACTATATCATGTATAACACACTACTATATCATGTATAACAACATACCATTATATCATGTATAATGCATAATATAATACATTATAACAGACTACTATATCATGTATAACAACATACTATTATATCATGTATAACAACATACTATTATATCATGTATAACATACTATTATATCATGTATAACATACTATTATATCATGTATAGTAACATGCTATTATATCATGTATAACAACATACTATTATATCATGTATAACATACTATTATATCATGTATAATAACACTATTATATCATATATAACATACTATTATATCATGTATAGCATACTATTATATCATGTGTAATAAGATACTATTATATCATGTATAACAACATGCTATTATGTATAACATACTATTATATCATGTATAATAACATACTATTATATCATGTATAATGTATAATATATAATGCATTATAACATACTATTATATCATAAATAATGTATAATATATTATACATTATAATACATTATAACATATACCATTATATCGTGTATAATGTATTATATATTATACATTCTATTATATAATAGCATACTATTATATACAGTAGATGTCAAAATTTTATAATATATAATGTAACTATAAAATTGGCATTACCTATTATAATATATACATAATATTTATATATTGTACTGTATTCTCTAATAGTATGTAAATATAGTTACATAATATAGATGAGTATGAGATTGTATAACTGCAAAATTACATAAATATAAACCATTTCTACATAAATTTATATGTTTGTATGAATATGAGATTATACATATAAAATTATTTTATATAACAGAACTATACCCTATTATGCACTTATAGTTTATATGTGAAACTATTATATATAATCAGTTTCTACTCGGCCAGATAGACTGAGTCTATCACGTAACTTTGGCCAGACCACAGCATAATCGTTCACCCCATAGGACCCCCCCACCACTGGTCCTGTGTACGTGGGGGGCATTGGTTCACTGTGTGCCTCATCCTCCCCTCCCAGGACACGAAACTAAAGCTCTGTTGAACAACAGCGGGCCCCGCTACAAGCGCAGCCAGCTGGAGAGGCAGATGAACTGCGACGTGCTGTGGTGTGTCCTCCTCCTCGTTTGTATGTCTCTCTTTTCAGCCGTCGGTAAGTCTTCCAGACAGCTCATCAGCTGAGGGGCTGTGGCCGGATCACTTCCGGAGAGGCCAACCTGGCAGGCCGTCTCCACTCATTCCACGCCAGCACCACCTCGACTCTAGAGTTTGAATCCAGTAGCCATGTGGCAGATACCTTGATGAATGGGTTGCATGTAGTTAGGTTATTTTCTGAACTGATGAAGACCTGGAAGGAAGAAGGGATTCATGGCCAAGGTAGTAATGAGCCCAGTGGAAGAAAATTCAGGAAGCTGGAGATGAACTCATACCAAGAGAAACATCAATGTTACCGCTGGGAACTTCATGGAAAGACAAAACTAGTGGCTCCTAAAGAGGGGCGTATGTGCTTCTTGAAGGGGAAGGAGAGGGTAGAGGCAATAGTGGATATGACCTTCACCTTGACCCTGAGCTGCTGTCCTCCAGAACCAGGCAGGTGTGATACGATCCTGATAAAATGATGTGCTGAACACATAAATAAGACTTCTGTTCTTAGATAGGTGCTAGACCCAATTCGTGAAATGGCATGCATTTCCATTGGCTTCTTATTCTGTGTGAGGATTGCTGGACCCTTGTGGTTCCTATCGGGAGGCTGAGACCTGAGATTGGGATTTCAAAGCCTGCCTTGGGCACTTAACCAGCAAAAAGCCAGAAGTGAGGGCATAGCTCAAATGGTCAAGCACCAGCCTTGAGCAGAAAAAGCTAGGCAAGAAGAAACCACAGCCCTATGTTCAAGCCCCAGTCTAGACAGACAGACAGACAGACACACATACACACACACACACACACACACACACACACACACACACATAAAATGATTACATTTCAAAATAATGATCAATGTTGCCCATTGAAAAACCTGTTGCTTTTACACTAAGCAGCTCACGAGCCTTTTTTGGTTTTGTTTTTGGTACCAGTCCTGGGTCTTGAACTTGAGCATTTTTACACATGATGATTGCTTAACCATTTTGAACACACCTTCACTTCCAGCTTTTTTGTTATTCATTGGGAGATAAAAGGTATTACTGACTTTCCTGCTCAGGCTGACTTTCTGAACCTTGACCCTCAGATCTCAGCCTCCTGAGTAGCTAGGATTTCAGGTGTAAGCCACCAGCACTGAGCTTGTTTTTGTGGGGGAGTTTTGGTGAGACGTGCCCTGGCAAATACTTTACTAGCACACAGGCACTTTTGCCTTCTGACCAGTGGAGCCATTCAGCACCTCCCGATGTGAGGAAAATGTCAAGTCCAAATTCCTCCATCAGTCTGATTGTGAGTGTCAAGAATTGGCTGTGCTTTTACTGTATTGCAGGAAAGGAAAGCTAAGAAACCAAAGAGCTGTGTCTCGTAACAAATCGTAGTTTTTAACCTTAATTTTATTACCAGCTGTGACCCCAGCTTTCACTCGGCTCAATAACCTTTGTCTTTGCATGTGGCTTCAGGACATGGATTGTGGGTTCGGAGGTATCAAGAGAAGAAAGCATTATTCGAGGTCCCTGAGTCTGATGGCAGCTCTCCCTCCCCAGTCACAGCGGCCGTGTATTCCTTTTTGACAATGATCATAGTTCTGCAGGTATGATCACTGCTTTAATTCTCCACAGAGAACTTCAGAGTCATTGTGCTCACCGAGGATTTCCAGTCACTGCTGTAGCCCCGAAGGTGCCAATGGTGTCTTTTTAGTGTGATGCTTCTTTAATTTCTTTCATTTATCTATAGGGTTTTTGCCTTAGGGGATGTTCAAGTCAAAATTCTCTTTGAATAGTTGGATGTGGTTGTGGTCACTGCTTCATTGATTTTCACATGTTTTTAAAAAATTGGGGGGTGCATGACAATGATGACGGAAGGTAGATCTTCATGCATGCTGTACAGGTGTGCTGTCAGTGACCCCTGGCTTGCTCTGCTAACTTCAGGTGAACTTCATGCTGGGTGCCAGTGGCTCCTGCCTGTAATTCTAGCTCCTCAGAAGGCTGAAATCTGAGAATCGAGGAATGAAACTGAAAAAGTGGAGGTGGGGCTCAAGTGGTAGAATGCTAGCTTTGAGTGGAAAAAGCTCAGAGACAGTGCCCATGCCCTGAGTTCAAGACCCACTATCAGCACACACTCACACTTACACACATACATACACACCAGTGGACCAATGGAACTGGGTCTATAAAAAGATAGTATATTACTCAAGTTTTGGGTTGTTTTTTTTTGGTCGGTTGTGGAGCCTGAACTCTGGGCCTGTGCGCTGTCCCTCAGCTCTTCAGCTCAAGGCTAGCGCTCTACCACTTGAGCCACAGCGCCACTTCCGGCTTTTTTCTTTTTGCTTATGTGGTACTGAGGAATGGAACCCAGGGCCTCAGGCATGCAAGGCAAGCACTCTACCACTGAGCCACCTTCCCAGCCCCCTCCTTTGCTTTTTTCTGTCAAAGCTAAGGCTCTCCCATTTGAGCCACATCTCCACTTCCAGCTTTGGTGGGGGCAAGGGGAGTTTAACTGGAGAATTGGAGGTAAGAAAGAATCTTAGGAATTTCCAGCCCAGCCTTGCTTTGAACTGTGATTCTCAGATCTCAGCCTTCTGAGTAGTTAGGATTACATATGTGAGCCACCAACACCAGGCTGAGCATTGTTTTGTTTTGTTTTTTTAAATTTTTATCATTGTTTTACCACTAGTATTCATTCATATATCTTCTCCACCCCCAAAACAGTACCCAATCCCTGAGGACGTATGTCCAGAAGATTTGTTAGTGTAGGAACGGTGTTCAAGTGAGAAGAGGCAGGAAAGGTCACTAACCTTTTGGGAACACAATGGCCAGAAGGTGCGCGCTTAGCCTCATCTAGAAGGAAAACCTCATTCTTTCTTACCATAGGTGTTTTATCCAACCAGAAATAGCTTTATTTTGAATTTCAAATTAGTTTTTGTTTTGTTTTTTTGTTTTGTTTTGTTTTGTTTTCGTTAGCCATGGGACTTGAACTCAGAGCCTGGGCACATCCCTGAGCTTTTTGCTCAAGGCTAGTGCTCTACTACTTTGAGCCATAGCACCACTTTGGGTTTTCTGGTGGCTTATTGGAGATAAGAGTCTCATAGTCATTCCTGCCTGGTCTGGCTTCAAACTGCAATTGTCAGATCTCAGCCTCCTGAGGAGTTAGGATTACAAGCATGAGCCACCAGTGCCCGGCTAGTATTAGTTCAATATTGGAATGCTACAAAATGAACAGTGATTTTAAGGAAGCTGATGTTTTTCTCAAAGTCTTCCTCCCTTTGCTTTGGTTTTTTAACTGTATTTTTTTTTTGGGGGGGGGGTCTTTCCTTTTTTGGGAATTGAACCGAGGACGTTACACTGGCTAGGCAAGTTGCTTTGCCAGTGAGCTACATTTCAGCCCTCCCTTTGCTTTTTAATCATGCATCATGGTGGAAATAGATCCTGTAGGATAAACTGGCCTCCTTTTGTGGCTGCTCTCTGAACTGTGGGGTTGCGTCTGCAAGTGACAGACAGCTTCTGTCACCCAGGGCCCAGGGAAAGCCTGGGGGTTGAATATTGCTGTGGTTTGAGATGACTTTGCTTTTACAAGGAGTCTGACGATGCTATGTTTTTCTCCTTTTTTTTCTCTTTTCTCTCTTTCTCTTCCTAGCCTCTCTCAAGCAAACCTTAGTAATACGAAAACGCTTGCTTCTCTCCAGACATTCCCAGACACCATAGTGGATTTCTACTCTGCAGGTGCACTTAGGCTCTTCCTAGTTTAAACTCTTTTTGCCAATACTCTAATCCTTTTCCAATAGTGATTCTAAACCAACCCATGTAAGAGCTTCAAGGTACAGTATAGTTCCTGTTCCTTGTGGTTTGTAGTCATTTGTCAGTGAAGTAGATTGGACTAATTCTGTGATTTCTGGTGCTTGCCATCATTCACCCTGTGTGCCTTCTATCTTCTTCTAGGTTTTGATCCCCATTTCTTTGTATGTTTCCATTGAAATTGTCAAAGTGTGCCAAGTGTACTTCATTAACCAGGACATAGACTTGTATGACGAAGAGACTGACTCACAGTTGCAGTGTCGAGCTCTGAACATCACCGAGGACTTAGGGCAGATACAGTACATTTTCTCCGATAAAACTGGCACCTTAACTGAAAATAAGATGGTTTTCCGAAGATGCATTGTGTCTGGTGTTGAATATTCTCATGATGCCAATGGTGAGTCTGGCAGGGTGGGTGTTGGGGGCTTCCAGGATGGGCTGGACAGGAAGGCTGCTATGTCTAAAACTATATCCCCCCCCCCCCCACTGCACACACACCATCACCACCACCACCACCACCACCACCACAAGACTCAGAGAATGCTGATCTTCACCTTGGGAGCCTGAAGCCTGTGCTATTTATAGAACAGGCTGACATGGCCCAGCTCACTGCAGAGTCTTTGGAAATGATGGCCATCTATTTCCGTATTCATTTTCTGCCAGGCAGATGCAGCAGCCAGCCAGGGGTTTCACACCCCCGAGGAACTCATTTTCTGGGGCAAAGCAGTCGCTTTACTGTGCCACACCAAAGGGACAGAGAGATGTTCCCTTTGTCACTTATCCATCTTCCTGTTATCAGCTGAAATTCTCAGAAGGGCCGCCTTCTTTCCCTTGGAACACAATGTCCATGGGAGCTGGAGAGAAATGCAGCGCCTTACTTGTGATTATCTGGGCAGGCCCTCCTCCTCCCAGCTCTCTTCTTATCCTCGGCTGCCTCCTTCCTTGTTGAAGGAAGCCAGAGAGTTACTAGTTTCGTAAGCCCAAGGATGACTGGAACAAGCGGTCTCCAACCCTGCCAGGAGAGGGCGCTATGGGGAACGTTCCCCCACTCAGGAGTGTTTCTGAGGGCGATTGTATGTCCCAAGAGGACCCCCTTTCTTTCCTAAATCAGCAACAGAGGACATCAAAAGCCATGCCCAGAAACAAACTCCTGAGTTATATAGCCCAAGCTCCCTAACACTTAACTGTCTTCCTTCACTGTACAGTTAAAGTAGCCTAACATGGCACGTCTTGTTTTACTGTTTTTTCTGCCAGCCCAAGTAAACTGCCTGTGTCCCATGCAGCCATTCTCAGTCTCCTTCTGGTGTCATTCCTTTCCTCCTGCCTCATCCCCGGGCCTGCATTCCTTCCCTCTTCCCAGATGCCTAAACTTCATACAGAATAGCTTGTTCCCCAGACAAAATATTCCGCAACAGCCTTTTAGAATTTCAACATTTCAAGAGAGTCAAGAAGAAGAGGTTTGAGACCTAAACAACGGATGGACTCGAGTCATGAATCTATATTCCAGAATAGTTAAGTGTCTATTTCAGATAAAGGCAAAGCCGGTTACCGGTGACTCATGCCTATCATCATAGCTTCTCAAGAGGCTGACTTCTGAGGATCCCAGTTCAAAGCCATCCCAGGCAATCTCCATTGAATCAGCAAAATGCCAGAAGTAGAGGTGTGGCTCAAGGGGTAGGGTGTCAGCCTAGAGCAAAAAAAACTAAAAAAGCTAAGCAAGCATATGAGGCCCTGAGTTCAAGTTCCAGAACTGACCTTCCACATACACACACACAATGAAAGATAGGCAAGTGAGGTGGCAGATTCATTAGCTTGACTTAATCCTGCCACATTATATATAGATATCAAATACTGATCCATTTTAGTGAAGGATCTGAGCCATGACCACATGGACCTCTAGGCTCTCATGGCGACTGCTGGCAGGATTGGTGAGGACAGACAGATCTCCCCTTCTGCGGGAGGAAGCCGAACTCCCAAATACACAAGGCTCAAGGACAGACACAATCTCACTGGTCTAGAATTTGCTCTTCCATGCCATCCAGCTGTCATCAAATTGGGATTTAGGTCACAAGGCTGAACAAGGCCATGGACATTTTCAGCAGGCTTCCTGGTATTAGGGTACCTGGTGTTTCTACCCGGCACTCTGCACACAATGTTGGGATTACAGGTTTGTTTTGAATTAGTAATCCTGACAAACAGTCCAATCACATCATGTTGATTCGTGATGCAACAGGCCCTGCTAACTGGGCAAATCCAGGAAAAGTTGTTCAAATAGTAAGTTAGTAACAACAGAGCAGGAGTACCACCATTCCCAGAAGGCCCCAGAGACTGGTCAGCAGTGCCTCCGATGGGCTCAACTGGACCATTGCTTCTTGGATTGAGTTTGACTGACTGGACCCAAACTCTGGATGCTTACAATCACACCATGTGATCACAGAAGGAATATCAGTGTTTTGTGTGTGTTGGTGTGTATTTACATGTAGATAGAGTGATATTTGTGCCAGTACTGGGTCTTGAATTCAGGGCCTGGGTGCTGTCACTTAGATTTTTTTGCTAAAGGCTAACAGTCCACCACTTGAGTCACAGCTCCACTTTGGGTTTTCTTTCTTTTCTTTTCTTTTTGAGTCATGGGCATGGGCACTATCTCAAGAATAGCTAGTGCTCTACCAGTTGAGCCATAGCTCCACTTCCAGCTTCTTTTGGTAATTTATTGTTAAGAGGTCTCACAGACTTTGCTGCCTGGGCTGGCTTTGAACTGTGATCTTCAGATCTCAGCCTTCTGATTAGCCAGGGTTATAGGCATGAACGACCAACACCTGGCAAGGATATTTTTTAGCCCTTTACTGGTAGAAACTCACTAAATGTGGTGGCCTTGTCATTGGGGAACAAAGATTGTGTGTGCTCTGGGGTGTGGGAGTTGGTAAAGGCTCATGGAACACAGAGCACCCTAAGTCAGCTCAACCTGCCCTCATGATGCCCTGCCCCATGTCCCTCTCCCCACAGCCCAGCGTCTGGCCAGGTACCAGGAGGCTGACTCTGAGGAGGAGGAGACTGTGCCCAGGTCCAGCACGCTGTCCCAGCGTGGCAGCATTGGGAGCCACCAGAGCGTGCGGATCATGCACCGAACCCAGAGCACCAAGTCCCACCGGCGCACCAACAGCCGTGCAGAGGCAAAGAGGGCCAGCATGCTGTCCAGGCACACGGCGTTCAGCAGCCCCATGGTGAGCGCGGCCAGGGAGGGTGGATGGCCTTGTGGGAAGGCTACCTGTCTGCCTTCCTCCTGTCTTGTCACTGCCAGCTGGGAGCTGGTGGCTCATGCCTGTCATCCTAGCTACTCAGGAGGCTGCCATTCTGAGCATCATGGCTGGAAGCCAGCCCAGGGAAAGACCATCCATGAGACCCTTATTTCTAATGAACCACCAGAAAACTGGAAGAGGCGCTGTGCCTCAAAGTGGTAGAGTGCTAGCCTTGAATAAAAAGCTCAGGGAGAGGGCCTGAGCCCTGAGTTCAAGCCCAGTGACCAACAACAACAAAAAAGTGTGTCCTATTTGATCAGATAAGCCCCTGCTGGGTACTGTGGCTCTGATCAGTTTTCTGGCTGACAGCTTTTCTACTCCCATTGTCTCTTTTCCAAAGACTCAAAGCCCTCTGTGTCATGGTGCCTATGGGCTGGGTAGCTGCTGTGTAAGCCACACAGAGAGAAAGCCTGGCCTGCCAAGTGAAATACATGAATAAAACATCAGAATAGCCAGGTGCTGGTGTCACGCCTGTAATCCTAGCTCCTCTTAGAAGGCTGAGATCCGAGGATCGTGGCTGCAAGCCAGCCTAGGTGGGAAACTTCAGGAGACTCTGATCTCCACCAGTACAAAGCCAGAAGTGAGAATATAGTCATAATATTTTGGGTACACATGTGAAAATGCAGCGTGGAAGATGGAGTGGATGGGAGGAGGGGGGAGCTGGAAGAGATGGGGAGGAGGAGCAAAGGCATGACATTCATCAAAGTGCGTGGGACTCATAAGCTGACAAGCTGTATTATAACCCCCTGGTACAACTACTTAAAGATCATCATAATTTTTTAAAAGCCAGAAGTAGAGCTGTTGCTCAGTTAATAGAGTGGCCAGCCTTGAGTGAAAAAGCTGAAGGAATAGCGCCCAGCAGTGAATTCAGTACCGTCACAAAAAGAGAGACAGACAGACAGACAGAGACAGAGGAGACAGAGACAGAGAGAGAGAGAGAAGGCAGGCAGGCAGAGAGGCAGGCAAAAGAAAACAAAAATGTCAACTGCAAAAAAGGAGAGTGGGTCCCTCTCTTTACACACACACACACACACACACACACACACACACACACACACACACACACACACACACACACACAGTATTAATTAGGTAATCCTAAATCCCATTAAAACAACTTCCTCCGACTTACCTGCTGTTCATGTACTGCCACCAGAGAGGAAAATCTCCGGAAACAAGTGGAAATTTTCTGGGTGGCCTCGCTTGTCTAGATGTGTACAGAATCTGCCACTGAACTATGATAATCTAGAGTTATGGCCACAGGGCCCCTGGGAATGCTGGGGGGGGGGGGGAAGGGGGGAGGTGGCAGGCAGGTTACTGCATTGTGGGACGTTCTCCTGAGGGAACGTCCTGTGGGGCGTTCTTCTGTAGTGTGTGTGTGTGTGTGTGTGTGTGTGTGTGTGTGTGTGTGTGTGTGTGTGTGTGTGACAGATGTGTGAAAGATCAGACTTCCTGACCTAGCAACTTCATGATTCACAAATCGTCACACACAGTATGGCAAGGGATACCTAAAGAGCCAAAAAAGAAGAAGATGATGATGATGATGACCATCATAGATAAATCATGGGTACCTTCATCCATTTTGATAGGACTTTTTTTTAATGTGGGTTTTTTTTTTTTTGTTTGTTTGTTTTTTTTCAGTCGTGGGGCCTGAACTCTGGGCCTGGGCACTGTCCTTTTGAGCCACAGTGCCACTCCCTCACAAACTTTTTTGACTGGGCCTGGCTTCCAACCACAATCCTCAAATCTCAGCCTCTTGAGTACTAGGATTACAGCTGTGAGCCACCAGCCCCTGGCTTATTATATCCATATTATAAGAAATGTTTTACTAGTTACTTGTAATAAAAACGTGCCTTTCTTCCCATATGTTTGACCTTCACTTCTACAGCTAAAATTATACACAGATGCCTTCAGAGATGACATGTATGCCTGACATGCCTTTGTTGCCAACTGTAAGAAACCACATCAAGGCCCCTGAAGTCGTTGAGCATGAAAACACTTGCTGGGTTATTCAATCAGACCCAACTGGGGGGCCTCTATTTGTTTCCCCTAGGAAAAAGACATCACGCCCGACCCGAAGCTGCTGGAGAAGGTGAGCGAGTGTGACCGACGCCTGTCCATCGCCAGGCACCAGGAACGCCCCCTGGCCCACCTCTCGCCCGAGCTGTCCGACGTGTTCGACTTCTTCATTGCGCTCACCATCTGCAACACAGTGGTGGTCACCTCCCCGGATCAGCCACGACAAAAGGCAAGTGAAGTGCTCTGTCCTCAGTCTTCCCGAAGTGACTCAGGCATGCGCGCTGCCTGCAGGGTGTGCCACTCAGCCTCAACAGCACCTCTCAAATGTGAAGGGTGGACAGGTGAGTTTGGGAGGTCTCAGCTTGCCTCAGTGTTTCCTGGACTCGGACAGGGGCAGAAGGAAGCTGCAGACAATGATCCACTCAGTACTCAGCACCCCAGAGCCACACGGGAAGAGGGGGCGGCGGGGGCAAGCTGGATTCCAATCCAGACTCTGGGTGTTCTGACTTCATGTCTTTAGATATGTCTGTGCTTCTGGTACCTCACTGGGCCCTGGGGTGATGGGTGAAGATTTATGGAGAAGCTCAGAGTGGATGTCAGATGGGTAGTAATAAGAATTCAGCGAGGCCCCTGTGGTGAAGTGGATAAGAATCGGTCAGGTTACCTAGGGGGAGAAACAGGAATCAAGTTGGTTTGGGTCTGGGCTCATATGAAGGCCCTTTCTGAAGAGAAGAAAGGTATTTTTGTTTGCTGATTTTTGTTTTTTTTGGTCAGTCCTGGGGCTTGAACTCTGGGTCTGGGCACTGTCCCTCAGCTCTTCAGCTCAAGGCTAACTCTCTACCGCTTGAGCCATAGTGCCACTTCCGGCTTTTTCTGCTTATGTGGTGCTGAGGAATCGAACCCATGGCCTCATGCATGTGAGACAAGCACTCTACCCCTGAGCCACCTTCCCTGCCTGTTTGTTTTTATGCTGGTACTGGGCTCACATTCAGTGCCAGGACACACTCACTGTGCTGTAGCTTTGTTGCCCAACACTGATGTTCTACTACGTGAGCCACCCCTCCACTCGTGACTTTTTGCTGGGAAACTGGAGATAAAAGTCTCACAGACTTTATTGCCCAAGCTGGCTTTGAATCCTGATCCTCAAATCTCAGCTTCCTGAGTAGCCAGGATGACAGGCGTGAGCCATCGCCGCCCCAGCAGAAGGGAAGGTTTTATGTGTTACCCACAGGCTCCTTAGAAGGCCTGCAGGTGGGCCACGCATCACGAGGGCTGAACCTGTGGATGTGCCAGCAAGCCAGGCAGCCTGGCAGGGGGGAAGATGAGGGCATACAGGGACTCGATCATGCCCCTACCTCCTCTTTTTCTGGGCACAGCTGAACCCAGCTGAACCCAGTGAGCCTAGTGGATCCCAAGGAGACAGGGTTGGGCACTGAGAGGCTCTCCTGCTGCCTGTTCCAAGGAGGAGCTGTTTCTTGTGGCAGAACACAGATGCCCCTTTCTGGCCTGAATGCAGTAATTCTACCCACATTAAAGCTCACTGGCACATGCGTTGTGTAAGTCTCTGAGCTGTCTAGGTTGGCTGGCAGACACAACCAGTGTAGCAATTATGTATATTATACATACTATCTATTATATATAACACATAAACATTTAACCATATAGTTAATATGATTTTAAATAACATTACATGTTATATTATATAATTATATTATAATCATGTATAATTATATAATATATATTAAATACTAGTGTATAATCATATAATTATATAATATATGTACAGTATAGAACATGCATAATTACATATTATGTTATAGTTCTATATACATATAGTGTGTCATATACATATTTTATATATTTACTTTAATAGTTAATATATTGAACATTTTTAAAGATATTTTATATAGCACAAAATTAACAACAATAATAATAATTTACTAAGAAAGGTTCTTTGGGGTTTAGAAATGTGATTTTTTTTTTAATTTAAATTTTTTAACAAAATGACACTCTGCAGCGCGTTTTGATCAGGGGAAGGAAAGGCCCAGTTTTGTGACTGGCCGTGGCGAACTGAGTCCCTCTCTGCTCACTGTGAGCCCCCCCCCGCCCCCCGCTGCGGCCCCAGGGTCCCCGCTCGCTCCTGACTCCCGCTTCTCCCGCAGGTGCGGGTGAGGTTAGAGCTCAAGTCCCCCGTGAAGACCATCGAGGGCTTCCTGCGGAGGTTCACGCCCAGCCGCCTGGCCTCGGGCTGCAGCAGCGGGAGCCTGGCCACCAAGTTCAGCCAGAAGTCGGGGTCCAGCTTCCTGTCCAACCTGTCCCACGACAGCATCTTCGACCGGCTGGGCCAGCCGGCGCCGGCCCTGGCCAGCAACGGCTACAGCAGCCAGGCCAGCGGCACGGACGGCGCCGAGGGGCCCGAGGGCGCCGGCGGCTGGAGCCCCGAGCGCGCGCAGGCCCCGGACCGCGCCGCCGCCGCCGCCGACCCCGAGCTGCGCTACGAGGCCGAGAGCCCCGACGAGGCGGCGCTGGTGTACGCGGCCCGCGCCTACAGCTGCCGGCTGGCCGACCGGCTGCACGACCAGGTGTCGGTGGAGCTGCCGCACCTGGGCCGCCTCACCTTCGAGCTGCTGCACACGCTGGGCTTCGACTCCATCCGCAAGCGCATGTCGGTGGTGATCCGCCACCCGCTCACCGACGAGATCAACGTCTACACCAAGGGCGCCGACTCCATGCTCATGGACCTGCTGCGGCCCTGCTCCCCAGGTGCGCGCCCGCGCCGCGCCGCGCCGCGCCCCGGCTCCCCGCCGGCCCGGCCCTGCTCCCCCGCCGGCCCACCGCATCCCCGCGCCCCGGCTCCCCGCCGGCCCGGCCCTGCTCCCCGCCGGCCCACCGCATCCCTGTTCCCCACCGGCCCACCGCATCCCCGCGCCCCGGCTCCCCGCCGGCCCGGCCCTGCTCCCCGCCGGCCCGGCCCTGCTCCCCGCCGGCCCGGCCCTGCTCCCCACGTGTCTGCTCCCCGCGCGCCCCTGCTCCCCACCGGCCCGGCCCTGCTCCCCGCGCGCCCCTGCTCCCCACCGGCCCGGCCCTGCTCCCCGCGCGCCCCTGCTCCCCACGCACCTGCCCTGCCCTCCACGCTCCTTCTCCCCACCTGCCCACCGCATCCCTGATCCCCCAGCACCCGCCCCGCCCCTGCACCCCACGCTCCCGCCCTCCCGCCGCGGCCCGGCTCCCCAGGTGCCCCACGAACGGCACCTTTCTCTTCCATGCCCCCCACCGAGTCCTCAGGTACCCTTCCCTCTCCCCGGTTGTATTTCTGCTCCTCAGACACTCCCTGCTCGCCCCTAAACCCCTAGGTACCCCATCGGCGTGGGGAAGTCTTGGGGCGTGGGGTTGTTCGGGGCGCGCGGGCGGGGTTCGGGCCTGGACTCCCCGGCCTGGACTCCCCGTTCGGCCGCCTTCTGCAGCAGCGAGGCCGGGGGTCGGCTGGGAAGCCCGAGTGTCCCAGCTCAACAGCCCAGGCTGAGAACCCTGAGACCCCAAGTGCTGGCAGCTTCCTTCCCGTCCCGTGCCCGGGAGCAGCCCAGCCGCCCAGGCCAGCCCAGGCCAAGGGCGGCGGCGGAGGCTGAGATCTGAGGATCGCGCTTGGAAGCCAGCCTGGGGCTGGAAGGGCCGAGAGATTCTTACCTCCAAGTCCTCCCAGAAAATGCCAGAAGTGGTGCTGTCGTGCTTATGTGGTAGTGTGCTAGCCTTGAGCCATTAAAGGACCCAAGGGGCTTTGGGACAGAGCCCGGAGTTCAAGCAAAACAAAAACCAAAGTCGCAGACTTTGCTGCCCAGGTTGGTTTCAGACCAGGATCCTCAGATCTCAGCCTCCCGAGTACCCAGGACTTGCAGGCCTGAGCCACCAAACCCCCTGTTTCAAACTAACAGCCAACTTTGGACTTGGAACTCTGGGGACGCGGGGTGCCCTACTATTTCATAAAAGGAAGAAAAGGGCCCCGGGGAGAAAGAGGGTAGATCTGCAGCAGGACATCCTGGTTTGCCCTTTCCTACTCCTTCACCGTCTCCCATTTGCCTGCCCACCTAGACGATGCCAGGGGGAGACATCAAAAGAAGATCCGAAGCAAAACACAGAATTACCTCAACCAGTACGCGGGGGAAGGCCTGCGCACCCTGTGCATCGCCAAGAGGGTGAGTGGGGGCCGCCCCTCGAGGGCTCCCTCTGGTGGCCGCCCCGCCGCCCCGCTCACCTCTGCCTGGCCTTCAACCACAGGTTCTGAGCAAAGAAGAGTATGCCTGTTGGCTGCAAAGCCACCTGGAAGCCGAATCCGCCGTGGACAACCGCGAGGAGCTCCTCTTCCAGTCTGCCATCCGCCTGGAGACCAATCTGCATCTGCTGGGTAATTTACCCCTTCCAGCTGCCGGGTGCGGTTGGAAGGGAATTGAGCTTACAGAGAGATTGGTGATCTGGAGCAGGTGGCCCTGCCCGAGCTCTGGGCACGCTCTTGAGTTGGCTGAGCCTGGTTAGGGACTAGATTGGGTCTGGCCCCATGGTAGCTTGTCTCCCAGGACCCAGAGAGAGTTCCAGGGGGCTCATATGGCAAGCAGGTGTCCCGTCCACACGGCCACCTGCCTGCCCTCTACCCAGCTTTTGCACACAAAAAAAATAGAAATGACAAGTTCTTTTGTTTTGTACCATACTGGGACTTGAACTCAGGTTCTTGTGCTTTGGGTTGGCTTTTTCCGCTCAGGGCTCTTCCTCTACTACATTTGTACTTCGGGCTTTTTGCTAGTTAATTGGAGATGACTCTGGGCTGGCTTCAAACCAGGATCCTCTCAGATCTCAGCCTCCTGAGTTATTAGCTAGGATTACAGGTGTGAACCACTAGGGCCCAACGTCAAGCCTTTGGATAACTGATCGCTGATGTATTTCATCCCTCAGACAAACCCAGGAGAACATTTATGCTCCAGAAACCGCTGATTTTTGCATTTTATAAATATTTCAGATTCACTTGGGATCAAAAGAAGACGAGCTCATTTTTATTGAAATGTGCAATTTCCTTCTGGGGGTGTTCCTATTTATATTTCATAAATACTGATCACTACTGGTAATAAATTGGGGCATTCATACTTTTGCACTTAATTTTAATATTGAATTTCAGCTTTGAGATATTTAATATAATATTTATCGACGTAGCAAAGGGATTTGTCAGTCTTTATATGCATGGGCTGCCAGCTCTGTCCTCACGGAGGAATTGGTGACAATATCAGACACTCCCTGCAACTTGGGGACCCTCCTCAGAACCCCCTACCCCCACTAGTCATACACAAAGCTCCAGAATTCTGTTAGGTTTTTTTTTGTTTTGTTGTTGTTGTTGTTGTTTTTCATTTAACAGAAAAGACTACCTTGTGTTTAGTTCCTTGGGCAGAAGAGTTGGGTGATCTACCATTTCTATATGTGCATATCTAATAGGCACATATCTAAGTGAATAGCAATTAATATTTAATAGTATAATGTGTGGTAGACATAATGAATACACATGGGAACTTCCTGTAATGTCCACCATGAACTATTCAGAAAGCCCCAAGATCCGGAGGTCTGGTGACCTATTCCACACTGCATCCTTGAGTGTGAATTACAATGCACCTCTTCCTCTTAAAAAGACATTCTGCTTACTTGGATTGATGGAACTGGGGTACTCTTATGAGCATGGGCCTCTCCCCGGCTGGGTGTGGAGCCACATGCATGTAGTCACAGCGACTCTGGAGTCTAAGCATGAGGAGAGATCCTCAGGATCCCAGGAGTATAAGGCCAGCCTGAGTAATATGGACAGACCTTATTTTCCAAAAAGCAAGCAACAAGGTCAGGGGTGATGTTGCATGCCTGTCATCCCAGGAAGGCCTGTCATACTTGGAAGGTGGAGATGGGAAGGATGAGGCTGGCATAGACAAAAACTTGAGAACCTTATCAGATACACAAACCCAAAGCAAAAGCAGCCGAGGGTGTGGTTCAAGTAGCAGCGGGCTTAGAACCCTCTTCCAGTGGACAGTGATCCCACTGTTAGCAGTGCCATCTCCTCCCTGAGATTTGGGAAGGATGTGACTGTGAGATTTCAGGATGAATTCTTGTCTTGATCTGGGTTCTGGGCTCGGTTTTTCTGTCCTGGCTCAGCCGAGAACTCGTCATTACACTCTTGAGCAAGCAATTGAGTCTTTTTTTTTTTTTTCTTTTCATCTCGGTTTTCTTATGTGCCAAGAAAAACAATGCCAATGTGCGCAGGGCCCTGGGAGGGCAAAAGGGATGTCCTGAAATCTTTGAGCATGGTTTAGGCCCAGGCCTCCTAATTGAGACCTCCCTGTTCCAGCCTCCTGGGATTATAGACAGGAGTCACCATGCAGTTTATATGTATGGTGTTCGTTTGTAGGGGGTGGTGTTGGTGTTGGAGCTTGAATTCAGGGCCTGGGTTTTGTCCCTGAACTTTTTTACTCAGTGCCGACACTCTACCACTTGAGCTATACTTCCACTTCTTGCTTTTTGGTGGTTAATTAGAAATAAGAGTCTCATAGATTTTTCCCAACCATGCTGGCTTTTGAACCATGATCCTCAAATCTCAGACTCCTGAGTATCTGGGATTACAGGTGTGAGCCATTGGTGCCCAGCTGTATTTAGGTTTTAAATGGCAAGGCCTAGGCTAGAAAATAAAAGCAATCCTCACTCACCACTATTTAGGACCATGGCTGGAGCCACGAATAGGCCATTTAGGGGTACTATATTGTTTCAACTCTTCGGCTTCATTTTTTTTTTTTTTGGTCTGTCATGGGGCTTTAACTCTGGGCCTGGGCACTATCCCTCAGCTCTTCAGCTCAAGGAGAGCACTCTACCACTTGAGCCACAGCACCACTTCCAGTTTTCTGGGTGTTTTGCTGGAGATAAGAGTCACAGAATTTCCTGCCTGGACTGGCTTTGAACCGCGATCCTCCGATCTCAGCCTCCTGAGTAGCTAGGATGACAGGTGTGAGCCACCGGCGCCCAGCTAGCTTTATTTTTTTCATCTCTCTGAACCAAGTACCTATTTCTAAAGATCTTTTCATTTAGATGCTAGTGTTTCATAGCCTCGAGAGACCCACAAATAAATACCATCAGTGGAAAAGTTCCGCATCCACACCTTATCCTGGAAATTTTCTTTTCCTGCACATTCTGGCCAAAGACTCTAAATTCAGAGGAGAGTGTTCTATTTGTCTCCCTCCTTTCCCCCCCCCCCCCCCCCAGCACCTTTACCTGTGGCCATTTTCTTGCTAGTTCGTCTGGAGTGTCACCTGCAGCTCCACTACAGGGGACATCTTATCCTTTCCCATGGAAAAGTCACCTGGCACAGAGGTGGCATGGTGGCCCCAACCCAACTCTGAACTCTCCAACCTCCCATACTTTAACACTCACAAATGCCAAGCCCTCCCCTGGGTCCCATGGGCATTTAGCCAGAGTTACGTAAGTTATATCACATACAGCCACCTTGGGAGATGCGCTTCAGATCACTTAATAAAGGCCTTTTCTCTTTGAATGCTGCCGTATTTCATGCTGAGGTCAGGTGAACCTTCCAGAATTCCAAGAGTTTCCTAGAATTCTGTGCGTGACCCAGACCTGCAGGGTTTCTAGGTCAGGTTAAGGGAGGGACGTCCCCCAAGAGGGAGCTCATTGGCCAGTAACTCCTGAAATGAAGGAAGTTCTAGGGTGCTTTTGGTTGCTGCTGTTGTTTGGTTTAGGTTTTTGTTTTGTTTTGTTTTCTGTTATTTATATTTATTTTTTGTTAGTCGTGGGGTTGGAACTCGGCCTAGCACTATACCACTTTGAGCCACAGCACCACTTCCGGTTCTCTGGTAGTTAATTGGAGATAAGAGTCTCATGGCCTTTCCTGTGTGCGCTGGCTTCGATCCATGATCCTCAGATCTCAGTCTCCTGAGTAGCCAGGATTACAGGTGTGAGCCACCAGCACCTGGCATTTCTGTTTTTCTTTTGGGCTGGGATTTGAACTCAGAGTCTCATGCTTGTTAAGTGGACACCCTGCCACTTAAGCCATGCCGGCATCTCTGTCCCTTCTCTGCCTTTCGTGATTTTCTGTATAAGACCTCATGTTTTTGCCTGGGCTGGCTATGCATACACAGGCTGTCTTCCTGTTGATTCATCCTGTAGCTGGAATCACAGGCGTGCTCAGCGCAGTAGTTGTGATAGGGTCCTGCTGACTTTTTGTTTAGTTGGTCTCTTCTCACACTTCTCCCAATCAGGTTCTCTCTGAGAACCAGAGATGACAAGAATACCCAGCCTGGGAAGTTCCAGTTTTAAGGTGTTAGCAGCAGCGGGTGACTCCTGCCTGTTATCCTAGCTGCTCTGGAGGCTGAGCTCTGAGTATTGTAATTGGAAGCCTGCCGAGGAAGGAAAGTCTTTAGACTCTTATTTCCAGTTAACCACACAAAAAGCCAGAAGTGAAGGTGTGTCTGGAGGTAGTTCACTATCATTAAGAAAAAAAATAATAAAGCGCAGGGACCATTCAGACCCTGAATTCAAGTTCTAGAACCAGCAAGTGTGCATACGACCACCCACTCACCCCTACACACATAAGCTAGAATTGGAAGTATGGCTCTAGTGATAAAAGCGCCATCCTTGAGCAAAAAAAAAAAAAAAGCTAAATTAGGAGCCGGGCACCAGTGGCTTACCCTTATCATCCTAGCTACTCAGGAGGATCAGGAGGATCAATCCAAGGATCAGGATTCAAAGCCAGCCCTGACAGGAAAGTCCATGGTGCTCTTATCTCCAGTGAACCACCAGAGAACCAGAAGTGGCGCTGTGGCTCAAAGTGGTAGAGCGCCAACCTTGAGCACAAAAGCTCAAGTCCAGCGCCCAGGCCTTGAGTTCCAATTCTATGGCCAACAAAAGAAATTGGAGAAAAAAAAAAAAAGAAGAAGAGGAAAAGAAACTAAGGCAACAGCATCCAGGCCCTGAATTCAAGCCTCAGTCTTGACACTAGACAAATAATGTCGATGCCATCTGCTTTGGTAACAAGTGGTGAATGGCTCTGAGCAATGGTGGTGTTGGCAGAAACTTGCCAGAGGATATGTTAGATTTTAAATATGGCCCTTTGTGCCTCTGCCTCACAACTCATGTAAAGTTCTGAGTTCGCTTCCTAAAGCAGAAGGAACTCGAGGCCCTTGGAGTCTGCAACACGGATGTTCAGTGACTCCAACAGCTCTGCAGTGTTGAATCACGACAATTTTCCAAATGAGAAATGGCTTTGCCTGTGGGTAGCGCCCTCTGCAGGGTGCAGGCAGTCAGGGTGTATCTGATGTGTTCAGTGGAGCCCTTGCAGGTGGGGAGGGGCTAACACACTACCGCTCCATGTGATCAGGGGCCACTGGGATTGAGGATCGCCTGCAAGATGGAGTCCCAGAAACCATCGCTAAATTTCGGCAAGCCGGCCTGCAGATCTGGGTCCTCACTGGAGACAAACAAGAGACGGCCATCAACATTGCGTACGCCTGCAAGCTCCTAGACCATGGCGAGGAAGTCATCACTCTCAATGCTGATTCCCAGGTAGCTTGGTTTCGGGGAGGCTCTGCCTCTGTCCCCATGTCCTGGGAAGAGGTGGGGGGGGCTCATGGCAGGGCTCCTTTGGGGAAGCCATCTAGGAGACTTCTGTCTCTAGCGGCTGCTGTGGGAAGATCCTTTGCTTCCTGAACCTCCCCCCCCCCCCCACTAGGTGCTGGAGCTCTGTCTCTGGGACTTTAGGATATGTTTGGAAGATGTGGAGGTTTTTCTTTTTTAGTGCCAAAAGAATACGCAGCTGGACTTGATGATCACTAAGTTGGACCTTTTTATTCTTGACATACTATAGTATGGGAGAATTTGTTTTGCTCAGGAGGTCACGTGTGTGTGTGTGTGTGTGTGTGTGTGTGTGTGTGTGTGTGTGTGTGTGTGTGTGTGTGTGTGTGTGTAGCCAACTCTGGGCTCCATTTTGCATTGATTTCCTCTAGATCAGTAGCTGTCTTTGGGATACACCAACAGGGACCCAAGGATCTTTGCAGTCAAGTCACGTGTGTCCCTTAAATCCCCAAGAATGTAAGGAGCACGTAGCCTCACCTACTAGCCTCTGTGCCGGCTCTGAGCAAACTTCTGGAGCCAAGCATGAGCTCAACTCAGAATATGGCCTTGGGCCAGGCACGGGTGGCTCACGCCTGTAGTCCTTGCTACTCAGGAGGCTGAGATCTGAGGATCGAGGTTTGAAGCCAGCCCGGGCAGGAAAATCTGTAAGACCCTTATCTCCAATTCACCACCCAAAAGCCTGTAGTGGAGCTGTGGCTCCAGTGGTAGAGCACTAACCTTGGGCAAACAAAATAATAATAACAACAACAACAACTCAAGAACAGCCCTCAGGTCCTAAGTTCAAGTCCCAGAACTGGCACACACAAATATATATATATTTGTTTTATGTATATGTAGTCTGGGGGCTGGTTCATAGATTCTCGATAGGGCAAATGATCAAAGCGATAAAAGCTCTTCTAAGGCTCAAAACCAGACTCGCTAATTCCTTCGCAGTTTGACACCCAGACCCTGATTTTCAGACACTGTTACCTATTCATAATACCTCCCCCCTTCCCCCCTCCCCCCCCCCCCACTATACTACTGAAGCCAACATTTGCTTATTTGCAGAGTCTCAAAGACTTTGCTGTCCCAGGTGGCTTCAAACTAGGATCCTCTGGATCTCAGCCTCCTAAGTAGCTAGGATTACAGGTGTCAGCCACTGGTGCCGGCCTAAATCCTATTTTTTTTTTTTGGGTCCGGTCGTGGGGCCTGAACTCTGGGCCTGGGCGCTGTCCCTCAGCTCTTCAGCTCAAGGCTAGCGCTCTACCACTTGAGCCACAGCGCCACTTCCAGCTTTTTTCTTTTTGCTTATGTGGTGCTGAGGAATCGAACCAAGGGCCTCACGCATGCAAGGCAAGCGCTCTACCACTGAGCCACCTTCGCTCGAGGGACCCGCAACGATAGTCCTCCTTTTATTTTTTTTAGTTTATTTAGTTATTTATGATACTGGTCGTGTGAGGCTTCTCTTCTGGTAAGTTGTTGTTTTCTGTTACTAGGAGTTAAATTCAGGGCCTCGTGGTTGCTAGGCACGTACTGCTTTGCTGGAACCACACCCCTCCCCACTTCTGCTATAACTCTTGCCTGGGCTGGCCTCAAAAGCATTTTCTTCTTCTGCCTTTGTGGCAGCTGAGATTATAGGCATGCACCAATACACCTGGCCCTTTTGGTCAGGTTTAATAGCAGTATACTAATTTCATCAATCTTTCAAAGAACAAGGTTTTAGTTTCTTTATTATTTTTTGTACAGGTAACTGGGGCTTGAACTCAGGATTGGGAGCTGTCTTTTAGCTTTTTCTGCTCCTACTACTTGAGCCACAGCTCCATTAATTGGAAATAACAGTCTCACAGATTTTCCAGGCCCAGGCTGGCTTTGAAGTGTTGATCTTCTGATCTCAATTTTCTCCAGTAGCTAGGATGACAGGTTCGAGCCACCAGTGCCTGGCAAGATTTTGGTTTCACCGATGAACGTTTGTCCTTTATTTTTTTGTTTTTAATTTTATTGATATCTGCTGTTGCCTCTTTTGTGTTCGATTTCTTTCCCTAGTTTCTCAAAATACAGTCATGTGTTTCTGATCTGAGAATATTTTTCTGTTTCTCACGAGCACAATTTTGTGCTTTCATCTACATATTCAGCTCAAGATTGTTTTTGGAATTGTTGCCCTGAAAATTCTTGTTTGAGCCTGAGTTTGTTTAGAAGGATTCACTTTCATTTTGAAGCGTCTGAAGGTTTTTCCTGTGGTCTTTCTCTTACTGATTTCTAGTTTAATTCCATTATGGTATGAGAACCTGCATTTTAGAATTTCAGTTTGGTCTTTTTTTTTTTTATTTCTAATTTTAGTGTGTTGTAGCAGGACTGGAGCTTGAATTCAGGACATCTCCCTCTCCCTCTCAACTTTCTGGCTTACAGCTAGCGCTCTATCATTTGAGCCATGCCTCCAGTCCTATTTATTTACTTATTTAATTGACTTCTGTGCCAGTCCTGGGGCTTAAACTCTAAGCCTGGGCTCTGTCCCTGAGCTGCTTTGGCTCAACACTAACACTTGAGCCACAGCACCACTTGGCTTTTTCTGAGTAGTTTATTGGAGGTAAGAATCTCCCAGATTTTCCTGCCTGGGCTGGCCTAGAACTGCAATCCTTAAGCCTCAGCCTCCTGAGTAGCTAGGATTACAGGTATGAGCCACAAGCACCCAGCTGTTGACTTATTGTTGACTTGGTGTTTGCTTCTTAGGCTTTTCTGTTGTAAACTTTTCTCTTTTTCTGCCCACACTATACTCATTCAAAGAAGTCACTAGACAGAGCTCATATTGAGGAAATATGGAGTTTGAGTTGCATGCTAGGGGCTCACACCAGCCCAACACCCCATCCTAGCTACTCAGGAAGCTGAGATCCCGAGGATTGTGACTTGAGGTCAGCCTGGATAGAAAAGTCTCTGAGACTCAGTCTCCAAAATAACCAGCCTAAAAGGTGGGCTGGAGGCATAGCTCAAGTAGTAAAGGGCCTGCTACCCGAGGAGGCTGAAGGAGAACCCTGACTTTGATCCCAGTGCCAGGAGAGAGGCGGGGGAGGGAGGGAGAGGAGGAGGGAGAGAGAAAGAAAGAGGAGAGGCAGGGAGAAAGAGAGGAACGAAAGAGAAGGAAAGGGAGGAAGGGAAAGAAAGAAAAGAGAGAGGGAGAAGAGAGGCGGGGAGAAAGAGGAGAAAGAAGGAAGGGAGGAAGGAAGGGGGAAGGAAGGAAGGAAGGAAGAAAAGAAGGAAGGAAGAAAAGGAAGGGAGGAAGGAAGGAAGGAAGGAAGGTAGGAAGGTAGGTTAGGGCCTCGGAACTATTAAGCACTTAGAGCTCCTTGCCAATCATCTCACCTGGTGTGAGACATTTTACGTTATAATATGATCCATCTTTCAAGCATCTACTGCTTTCTTTCCTTTGCAGAAAGAAAGACCTCCCCCTTCAGCTGACCTTTCTGGAGGTCATCCTCCCTCCCCCCTCACACTCCCTCCCCCACCCCAGGTCATCGGATCTGGCAGCCTGGGGCCCTGGAAAGCAGTCAGCTCAGAGCTCCCAGCGCCGGGTGACCGGGGGAGTCCGTGGTGTGACCCCCGAGTGAACCACACCGCCCTCTTCATGTCCTTTTCAGGAAGCGTGTGCAGCCCTCCTGGATCAGTGCCTGCAGTATGTGCAATCCAGGGGGCCCTACAGTGCCCCCGAGAACACGGAAAGCAATGTGAGCGTGGGGTTCTCCCCTCTCTACCCAGCCTCCACGTCCTCGGCCTCCGGCCCCAGCCCCAGCCTCGTGATCGACGGGAGAAGCCTAGCGTATGCCTTGGAGAAAAACCTGGAGGACAGATTTCTCTTCCTGGCCAAGCAGTGCCGCTCGGTCCTCTGCTGTCGGTCCACCCCTCTGCAGAAGAGCATGGTGGTGAAGCTGGTGCGAAGCAAGCTCAAGGCCATGACGCTGGCCATAGGCAAGTATCGGGAGCGGCCGGGCAGCGCCGGAATCCATGGCTGTCTCATTCCGCCGCTTCCTCCCTTACAGCCTGGATGTTTGATTTCCTTCCACACAGCGCTGAAACAATTGTGGGGAGGGGGGAAATTCTTCACTGTTGGTTCCATTTGTGACACAGTTACTGATGTGATAACTCGGGTGGCAAGTTCTAGACATGTCAAGCTTAACTGGAAGCTAGGCGCTGGTGGTTCACACCTGTAGTCCTAGCTACCCGGGAGGCTGAGATCTGAGGACAGAGGGTTGAAGCCAACCCTGGCAGAAAAGTCTGTGAGAACCTTATCTCTGATAAAGCAGCAAAATGGTGGGGATGGAGGTGTGGCGCCAGCGATAAGAGCCTTTGAAGAAAGAAAGAGAGAGAGAGAGGGAAGGAAGGAGGGAGGGAGGGAGAGAGAAAAGAAAGCAAGCAAACAAGAGTGAGGCCCTGAGTTCAAGCCCCCCTGTAGGTACACAAGCACGTCCACAGCATGTGCCTGTACACACACACACACACACACACACAGAGCTTACTTGGATAGCCACAAAATATAGTAGTAGGTACACAGAATATTAAGAAGTCAATAACCCAGTGGTAATTTCAGAAGACGAGACAGATAAGGTATTGTCTGACCCAGATAGTCCTGGCTGCAGGAAGGTCCCAGGTGCCCAGCATTAGCCCAATCCAAGGAAAAAACGCCCTCTGTGAGGGCTTTGAGTCACTCTGTGTCTTTTGGGATTTGAGGCTGTTTCTTGTAGGAACCCAGAAACTGTAATGATCAAAATCCCTAGTCTGTTTCTTTGCCTCTCTCCCTCCCTCCCTTCCTTCTTCCCCTCTTCCCCTCCCTCTCCCTCTCCCTCTCCTCTCTTCTCCTCTTCTCCTCTTCTCCCTCCCTCACCAGGCTTGGCCTCATGTTCTCATTCGGCTTGCCTGCCCACGGCACACTTCTAGCCCAGCATTTTTGGCTGGTTCTTTGGAGATGGAGTCACACCGACTTTTCTACCTGTGCTGGCTTCGAACCTCAAATTGCCCCCAGATTGCAGCCTCTTGAGTAGTTAGGATTACAGGTGTAAGCGGCTGGCGCCTGGCCCCCTACATCTCTTGTGAGCTCAGCTTCACAAATGGTGTTAAGATGGACATCTTATAGGAACAACAAGATCTGAATAGCCATACAGTTTTATATAGAAACAACGCGATCTGAATAGCCATACAGTTTTATATCATATAGAAACAACGAGATCTGAATAGCCATACAGTTTTCCCTCATTAAGTAAACTTAAGGACATGTATCTAACGGTATTTTTCCCCTTTTAAGCACTATTAGCTGAAGAACCTTCTAGGTTGCTCTCCAGTGATTCCCCCAGGGGCAATTTCTCCTACTTGGGGGTCAAGCGGAGTCTCTAGCACAGGCTCAGGGACTCTGCAGTGCCACCTAGTGGTGAGAAAGCTAGAAAGGCGGAGTCTACCATGATAACCCATGGTCATGTCCGCCAGAAATCACCCCTTGTAGAGGGAGGGTTGACATCCTGACCTCAGGGCACCTTATCAGGTAGGAGAAGGCTGATTTAAAGCCTTAAATGTGGCGGGGGGAGGAGGGTTAAGAGTGAGGTCCTTGATCAAAGCAGTTGTCAAGCAGACACAGCCTTTGCTCCCTTAACACGCTGGGGTCCGTCTTTATCATCATGTACCTGGAGTGGCCCTCGGGGTTTCTTGGAGCAAGTGGATGGTAAGAACAGTGGGTTACTGCCTAAACATGGGTTCCAGGCCACTCACTACTCACCCATGTCCTTGGTACTTCGGTACCCTCTGAGAGAACATGAGGACGAGTCTGCCTCAAAGCCTGGGGTGCAGGGTGAGTGGGAAATGATGTTCTCACAGCCTGCTCAGCAGCCGACTCCGCCCACGAGTCACAAAGCAGAAGTCCAAGCCAAGGGCTGGTGGCTCATACCTGTAATCCCAGCCCACTCAGAAAGCTGAGCTCTGAGGACTGAGATTTGAAGCCAAGCCCCAGGCAGGAAAATATGTGAGAGACTCTTGTCTCTAATTAACCCAACAAAAAGCCGAAGTGAGCCAGGTGCAAGTAGCTCACGCCTACAGTCCCAGCCACTCCGGAGGCTGAGTTCTGAGGATTGCAGTTGGAAGCCATGCTTGGGTAGGAAAGGCCATGAGACTCTTATCTCCAAGAAACTACTTCAGAAAAAGTATTGTGGCTCAAGTGGTAAAACTGCAAACCCTGAGCAAAAGCAACTCAGGGACAGAGCCAACAAGGCTCAAGAGTTCAAGTCCCAGAACAAGCACACGCAAAAAAAGCCAGACGTGGAGCTTTGTGGCTCAAGCACTGGAGTGCTAGCCTTGAGTGACAAAGCTGTGGGACAGTGCCCAGCTTATGGCTACACTCTGCCTTCGTTAATCTTCATGTTGTATCATTAGTGCACCTGTCACTTCTATGATTTGAGCTATTCTGCCACGAGCTCCCAGAATGCTCACTGCCCCTGAGGAGTAATGCTTTTATATCTCTACTTTGCCTCTTCCTGAAGGTGATGGGAACTCTTGCCCTTAGGATCTTAAAACCTGTTGTCGGCCAGTCGTTTCCACAGAATAAGCAGAAATTCTCATTCACTACATCCTCAGAGAGACCAAAAGATATACACACTAAGTGCTAATCAATGTGAAGGGAAAAAAAAATCTCTGTAGTTGCTGGGCAGAATGAAAGCTCCTCCATGTAGGTGAGCGTAAACTGCTTGGGTGGGTCTGAATTGGAGCTGCCTGGCTGGAATAGCTGAGTTCTTGTAAACAAGAAAGGGGATGATGAGCGCATCCTTCATTATGCCAGACACCGAGGGCTGTGTCTGTACAGGAGCCAATACTGTAGAGGGAACATCGAATTAAAAGGTGACTCAGTGTGGAACTGCTTTGGGGAGCACTTCTTGATTAGCCAGATGGCAACCTCTAGTTTATTCCAACTGCTTACCTCCATCCTCCCAGAGAAGATGCTAGAATTGCTATTTTCTCTGATCTTCCCCATGATTCATTCACAAAACCCAATCTAGTGGGGACCTCATCTTAGGCCAATTTACTTCTGTGCTGCTCAGCTGGCTGCCAGTGGCTCACACCTATAATCTTAGCTACCCAGGAGGCTGCGATCTGAGGATCATGGTTCGAAGCCACCCCGGGCAGGAAAAGTGTGTGACTCTTATCTCTAGTTAGCCACCAAAGGTCAGACGTGAAGCTGTGGCTCAAATAGAAAAGTGCTAACCTTGAGTGGGGGCAAAAAAAGGCTAAAGAATAGCATGTAGGCCCTGAGTTCAAGCCCCAAGACCAGCACACCACACACACACACACACACACACACACACACACACACACACACACACACACACACACACACACACACACCTTATTCTATACATCCCAAGTGACTCTTCCTGCCTTTGTTCTTTCTAGGTGATGGAGCCAATGATGTCAGCATGATCCAGGTGGCAGACGTGGGCGTGGGAATCTCAGGCCAAGAGGGCATGCAGGTACTGACCAATAGGGGCTGTCCGCTGGAACCAGTCTCATTGGCCTCTTGTCCTGTCATTCTTCAAGCTGTCTTAACTTTCCTCTGGGCACCTCCAGACAAAGCTAAGGAATTGGCCTTCAGGACTGGCCTTTTGCGAAGCTAGTAAGTAGCAGAAGATACGGTAGATATGGTGGAATGTCAGTTGCTCTGTATTTTTACAAAGCAATGTGCAATACCTGTGTCTGCCCATGTCTATACACGTGTATTTTGGGGAGATCTGGTTTAGCAGGAGGCAAGGCGAGTTAGCACCAGCAAACCAGGTTAGCCCTGGGAAGCATTCTCTATTTTCTATTCCTAAACACTGCCAATACCCTGTGGAAACTGCCTTTGTTATGGTGCTCTTGGTACTACTAAAAGATTAAATGTCCGTCTCTGTGTGTGTGTGTGTGTGTGTGTGTGTGTGTGTGTGTGTGTGTGTGTGTGTGTGTGTGTGTGCTGGTCTTAGGGCTTGAACTCAGGGCCTTCACTGTCTTGTTTAGCTTTCTCTGTCAAGGTTGGTGCTCTACCACTTGAGCCATGCCTCCACTTCTTTTGGCTTTTTTGGTGGTTAACTGGAGATGAGAGTCCTATAGACTTTTCTGCGCATGCTGGCTTTTTGAACTATGATCCTCAGACTGCAGCCTCTTGAATAGAGAGGATTATAGGTCTGAGCCAGTGGTGCCTGCTCAAATGGAGACTTTAGGGAACACTTAATTCAGTGTGTTTCTAAAAACTGGATGGTTGATCGCCACTTATTAATTAATGGAACTACTTACACATTCACTTGATTGGTGATTATTTATTTAAGCGCTTTCTTATGGGTAGGAGGCCTGTACAGTTAATGTTTCCTTGATGTTAAATAACTCAAGTAACAGATCCTCAGCTGGAGGCCTGGTGTAGTTGTCCCTCAATATCTGTGGGGAACTGCATCCAGGACCCTTGTAGACGCCCAAATCCAGAAATGCATTTACATGAATTCATATGTTTGCAGATTATCCTCACACAACCTCTAATATACATCTAATCATCTCTAGTTACTTTTAATGCAAATGCAGTATAAACGTTTGTGATACTGTTTAGGGACTAATAACAAGGAAGAAAATCTGTACATTTGCAGTACTTGTTTTCCACGTTTGTTTCCAGCCACAGTTGTTGTTGTTTTCCATTTTTTTCTTTTTTATGTCTGAGACCAGAACTCGAACTCAGTCCCTGATGCTGTTGCTCCTTGGCTAGGGCTCTAATGGAGCCAGGCTTCTCAATATGGTGGTTCAGATCAGTCCTAGCTTCTCAGCAGATGCAGAAGTGTTTTTCATTGTCCATCTGCTTGCCCATAATGGCCTCTCTACCAAGCCTGGGTTGGCAAGCTCTCTTTTTTTTGGTAGGTCATGGGGTTTGAACTCTGGGTCTGGGCACTGTCAATGAGCTCTTCAGCTCAAGGCAAGCACTCTGCCACTTGAGCCACAGCGTCACTTCCGGTTTTCTGACAGTTAATTGGAGATAAGAGTCTCACAGACTTTACCACCTGGGCTGGCTTTGAACCGAGATCCTCAGATCTCAGTCTCCTGAGTAGCTAGGATTACAGGCGTGAGCCACTGGCACCTGGGATCAAACTCCTTTTTATTCTTGCTTTCTCTCAGTGGCTCAGCCCCTACCCCTGAGGTCCCAGCCACCACAGCAAAGGACTCACCTCAGTGTCCCTTCACTCGACATCTAGACCTCAAAGAGGAGTTCAGCCAGGTGCTAGTGGTTCACGCCTATGATCCTAGCCACTCAGGAGACTGAGATCTGAGGATTGTGGTTGGAACCAAGACGGGAAAGCCTGTGAGACTCTTATTGCCAGTGAATCGCCAAAAGAGCTGGAAGTGGAGCCATGGCTTTATAGAGTGCTAGCCTTGAACAACATAGTTCAAGGACAGCGCCCAGGCCCTGAGTTCAAGCCCCAGAACCAGCACACACACAAAAAAACCCCACAAAAAACAAAAACCGACATTAAAACAAACAAAAAACAAGACCTTGCTACATCTACCCCATTACCTGTTGTTCATCCTCGGAAGCTTTAAATGAGTCCTATAAAGCGATCTCCCTGAGGGCCTATTGAGAATAATTTGGTTTTGATGGAAAGAGATGATGGGGGGGAGGGGGGGGAAGAGGGCAAAGCCACACCTAACACTGAGTTTGAAGCTGGGTGGTTTTTTGTTGGCTTTCTTCCCACCATCCATCCATTGCCATGCATTTGGGAACGGGGACAGGGCTTATGACAAAGAGGCATGGCTGATAACCAAATCTCCCCTCCCTCTCAAGGCAGTGATGGCCAGTGACTTTGCAGTGCCCAGATTCCGATACCTGGAGAAACTCCTCATTGTCCACGGCCATTGGTGCTACTCCCGCCTGGCGAACATGGTGCTGTACTTCTTCTACAAAAACACAGTACGTATTACACACCTGTCACCAAGAAGGTGACTGCGGTGTATGACCGGGTGCCAGTGGTTCACATCGGGAACCCTAGGTACTCAGGAGGCTGAGGTCTGAGGATCGTGGCTCAAAGCCACGCAAGGCAGAAATGTCCATGAGACCCTTCTCTCCAATTAACCAGCAAAAAGCTGAAAGGGGGGGGGGGCTTGTGTCTCAAGTGGCAAGGCACCAACCTTTAGCAAGAAAGAAGAAAGGAGAGCATGAAGCCCCAAGTTCAAGCCCCAGAACAGCTTGAGTGAGAGAGAGAGAGAGTGGGGAGGGAAGTTTCTAGATGCTCTGCTGAGACGTTGCTTGGTTGTTTCTTGGGACTAAAGGAACCAATATAGGTGCACTCTCAAGATAAATGATCTATTACAGGCATCCCATAGAGGTAGTTGTCTAGTCAAGATTGTCCCATACTTTGCTGAAAAAGAAAAGTAAAATAAAAGGCGCATTTTTTTTCTCATTTCATATGAAAATCTCCATGCTGCCTCTAGCCTGCCGCCTGTGTGCCTCCTGTTCACGCTCTCAGTGGTTTGTGATGCCTGCCGTTCTGTTCTCCACTTCTCCCACCCACTCTCTCTCATCTCATTTTCCAACATCTTCTAGCAAATGAGTACGGAGGCCCAGAACCCGTCAGGGCGTGTCTAATGGAAAGACGCGGCAGGTGCACTGTTCTTCCCTTGGGAGTTCAGCCCTCCCGTCCTCACAACCCAGCACTGAGAAGCCTTAGCTGCAAACCCAGAGGCTCCTCCCCCTTCCCAGGAGTCGACAGCCAATGGGAATGGTCAGGCTGGAATCCAGCCTTATTTCTTTCATTCTTTACAAGTGGAATCTGAAGCAAGTTCAAGGTGCACCTTGGCTTACTGTAGAGCTGTGTCGTCCTGATACTCATTACACAACAGTTATATGGCAAGCTGCAAATGGCAGTAGCTACATGAGCTCCACCTAGCCTACCCACCATCACACTTAACTACATGAGCATATGGTAGGGTGTTGGCTGTTTTCCCCCATGGTCTTGTGGTTGACTTGGAACTGCGGCTCAAAGCCACGGCTGAGCATTTCAGAAGAAGACTGGACTGCGTATCCCCAGCCTTGGCAAAGTTGAAATTCAGAGTTCAGAGGAAGGCACCAAGAAGCTGTTAAAAAGTCATGTTGAATTGTGATGGTCCACACTAGTTATTCCATCTGCTCCAGAGATGGGGAGAGGAGGATTGAGGGTCGAGGCCAGCTGTTGCAAAGGAAGCACAAGACCCTATCTGAAAAACTAAAAGCAAAATTATTAGGAGGTATGGCTCAAATGGTAGAGTGCTCACCTTACATGTGCCAGGTTTCTGAGTTTAAATCCCAGTACCAGGAATTTTAAAAAAAGTGGAAAATAATACCCTACGTCAAATCATGGTAAGTTGAGGACCAGCTATATTTACCTTCTTTGGATTTTTCTTTACCTAAAAGATAAAACCTGGGAATTGAGCTAACTCTGGTTGCAAGAATGATAACCTGGTATTGTTGGCTATATATCCTGGCTGTGCTCAGAAGACTGAGTTTGAAGCTAGCCTGGGCAGAAAGAGACTCTTATCTCCAATTAACTACCAAAAAAAAAAAAAAAAAGCCAGGTGCTGGTGGCTCACACTTGTAATTGTAGCTACTTAGGAGGCTGAGATCTGAGAATCATGGTTCATCGCCAGCCCAGGCAGTCAGTCTATGAGACTCTTATCTCCAGTGAATCACCAGGAAACCAGAAGTAGCATTGTGATTCAAAGTAGTAGAGTGTTAGCCTTGAGCAAAAGAGCTCAGTGAGGTGCCCAGGCCCTGAGTTCAAGCCCCATAACTGACCAACAAAAAGACAAAAGGCGTGGCTCAAGGGGTAGAGTGGGATCCTTGAGCAAAGAACTTAAGGAACAACTCCAAACCCTGCGTTCAAGCTCCAGTAAGAGCACAGAAAAAGAGAGAGGAAAGAAAAATGGAAGGAAGGAAGGAAGAAATGACATAAGCCAGTGCATTCAACATTGTAGATGCAAACTCACCAAGGTCAGGGTAGCACTGAGTTGGACACAGGCTCCCGCCTGCTATGATATAAAGCTGTCTTTCCTTATTGGAGAACAAAAGGAAGGGAAAGGGTCGCCTGTTTTTAGTTCATAAAAGATGCAGGGCCTTGGTTAACAAGGATCTCTCCACAGGAAGGGTTCAGGGATAATGGCTCCTAACACGAGAGATTCATCTGTTTTAAGAATACGTTGGCCTTCCCTTCCAATAAAGAACGGAGTAGGACCGTTTCCATAGCAACAGTGGTTTGGGAACAAAGCTCTTTGGTACTACAGGAAAAAAGAAACTCAATTATCTGGGTATTTTTTTTTCTCCCTCTTTCCCTTGATTGCAGTCACTCACCAGTGACTCACAAGGCTGAGCCTGAGGGGTGGGGAAGTGTGGGGGGGACAAAGTGAGAAAGTCAGCCATGGGAAGTAGAAAGGGAAAGAAAGTCAGTGAGGAAAAGTTCAGCCAGGCGCCGGTGGCTTCACGCCTGTCATCCTAGCTGCTGAGGAGGCTGAGGATCACCCAGTTCAAAGCCACCAGAGCAGGAAAGTCTGTGCGAGACTTTTTATCTCCAGTGAACCACCAGGAAACTAGAAGTGGTGTTGTGGCTCAAAGTGGTAGAGCACTAGCCTTGAGCGAAAGAGCTCAGGGACAGCACCCAGGCCCCATGACAACAAAAAAAGTCCCAATTTGTCAGTTGTTGCTAGGGAGGGAGAAAATTGTGTGTTAAGAGACTTAAATAATAGCTTGAAACATGCAGAGAGAGAACCAGCCATCTCTTCTGATCTCAACAAGCCTTTTTCAGGTCAAGAAGACAAATCTCAAAGAAATCAAGTGTCTGAGTTCAACAAGGTGTAGATAGTTATGATTTCAGAAACAAAACCCAGGCCAGGGAGTACTCAACAAAGAGCATCCATTTACCCCTGCCTCATTCCCTTACCCCAGACCAAGAACCATTTGAGGTTGAACAAATTGGGTTACTCACACGATGATTATGGTCAAACCACTCAACATCTTGGAACCTCCCATTTCCTTTTCTGGGAACAGAAAGAAATCTGCCCCTGCTTAAAAAGAATATAATGATGTTACTTCATGCTAAGAACATGCCTCAGAGGAGAACAGGAAGTTCCTAGCTTGTGCCAGGAGCTCTGGCGAGTACTTTAAGAGCATTAGCTCCTTACTCCTCATAACCAGTACTTGGCAGAGAAGACTGCCGTGAGCTATGCCACATTACACAACTAACTAATTTAAGGCTGTTTTGTGACTATAACAAAATACCTTAGGTAAACAAGGAGGAAACGTTTATTTGGGCTGGTAGTTCCTAGTTCAGTGGTTGTTCAGCCTTGTCCTGGCACATGAAAAGAGCAAAGCTGCCCACCCATGAGACTAAGAAGTGAAAGACAGGGAGGGGCTGTGTCCCCTTACACCAATGACCTAACTTCCTCCCATAAGCCCCACCTCTATCCCTCCTGAAAACATCACCGCCAGGGATCAAGCCTTTACCACGTGGGCGCATTTAAGATCCAGACTGCAGTGCATGGCAACTGTTAGACTCCCATGCCTTCCCCCCTACCCCGTATAAATGCACTCAGTGTGCCAGTCCACACTCAGGACCTCGTACTAGTCTTGCTGTGCTCCCCTTCCTTCAGAGTTTGGGCTTGAGGAAGATGAACTTTCCTATACAGCAAAGAAGACCAGAGACTGGATCCTCGGAAGAGAGCCCAGGATATAATCCCACTACGCTGTAATGTTCATACCATCGCTGTCTTTGCTTTTGTGCTTGTGGGCACTTTTCTCTTGAATGGGAGTTGATCCATTGTCCGCTGCTCCTCATTAAAAACAAAAAACTAGAAAAAAAAAAAAGTATGGGCTGGGCATGGTACTTACATGCCTGCAGTCCCACCTGGGAGGCTAAAGCAGGAAGACTTCAAGTTCAAGGCCAGCCTGGACTACCTAGAGACCATGTCACCAATGAAAAGTAAAAGGAGAAGGGTGATGGAGGAGGAATTCAGGATCGGGGATGTAGCCCAGGCAGGTTTTCTTGAGGGCACAAAGGGCTATCAGAGAAGAAGCCACCAAGTCCCTGTAAAATGTAAAGAGCCCTTGTCCCACTCAACCCTTGATTCTGTGTTCAATGAATTAATCATCACTAGCTTTTCAGGCACAGAACCTCACCCTGCCAGGGCTGCTCCTGGAAATTCCAAATTCCCATTGGCCAGTCCCCCTAGTGATGGGGACAAGGAAGGTCTGGAGAAGAGGAGAGAGGAAGAGCCTGTAGCAGGACTCCCTGCAGGGCTGTCTTGAAAGAGATTGCTGCCTGTTGATTTGATTTACATTACAACTCCACAGGGATGCTGGTTCAATTGACTAGAATTTCTACAGGGTCTTAGACCAGGGGCGGGACTTCCCCTGCAGGCAGAGCCCAGGCCCTCTGGTCTCACACGTCCTTTCTCGGTCGTAGATGTTCGTGTGCCTCCTGTTTTGGTTCCAGTTTTACTGTGGCTTCTCCGCGTCTTCCATGATCGACCAGTGGTACCTGATCTTCTTTAATCTGCTCTTCTCGTCACTTCCCCAGCTTGTGACTGGGGTGCTGGACAAAGACGTGCCGGCCGACGTGCTGCTACGTGAGCCACAGCTCTACAGAAGTGGCCAGAATATGGAGGTGAGCGCCTGCTGGTCTCTGCATCCCCCACATTCACCTGTCGGAAAAAGCGCCAATCTCCAAGAGTCTACACCACACACACACACACACACACTCATCAGGAACTTCTATCTGGATGACTAGGTGGAATGCTTACTGCAGAGAAAACTGCTCACATCAGGAGGCAGGAAACAAAGGAGGAAGAGACCCGAGTATCCCCATCCATTCATTGCCTGAAGGGCCCAAGGAAGGACCTAAAGATATCACCCCCCCCTCCCTGAAGGTCCTACCACATCCAATAGAGTCACTCTGCCTCAGCCCACCATGGAACAGAGAATGCTGGGAGTTCATCCTGTGGAGAAAATTGACCAATAGGAGCGTAGCAGCTCTTCCCTGAAGTGGTAGTGAATGGTCATTCCATCCCTTCCACTAGAGCCTGGGCCAACTACTTGGGGTCTTGGTATGGTTAAATACAAATTTGGTCACCCTGGTCATGAAATCTCTGTTGACATCAGAGTCCGTTTTGCATGTAGGTATGTAATTGTCTTAGTCTGTTTTGCATTACTATAATGAAATCCTGGAGGCAGCTACTCAATAAAGAGGGTTGTCTTTTTGTTTTTGGTTTTTTGGTTTTTTTTGATTGGATGTTACAGAGGTACAGAGGTCTAAGGTTGAAGAGCTGTATCTTTTTTTTTTTTTTTTTTGTGCCAGTCCTGAGAACTTGAACTCAAGGCATGCATGTTGTCCCTGAGCTCTTTTGCTCAAGGCTAGCATTTGAGCCATAGCACCATTTCTGGCTTTTTTTGGTAACTCATGGGAGAGAAGTGTCTCATGGATTTTCCTGCCCTGGCTGGCTTTGTACCTTGATTCATACATATCTCAGCCTCCTGGGTAGCTAGGATGACAGGGGTGAGCCACCAGGACCCAGCAAGCTGTTATCTTTTAACAGTTTTAAAGTACTGACTTCCCAGAAGCCGGCTGTGGTGTCGCATGGCAGGTGTGACGACTGAGTTCAGGTCTCTTCTGTCCTTTACCGGACAGAATAGGAATTCAATCATGGGACTCCACCCTGAGGAATTTATTGAATCCTAATTACTTCCCCAAAGCTCCATCTCTAGATGTTCTGGTCAATTAACTTTACCTTCTTAATTGCTCACCATGGGCATTAAATTTCCACACGGAAAGCCGTGGAGAATGCTTTCAGACTATACCCAGATCGTAGCAATAACCTTTTGATTTTTAACATTAGGTCACAGCCATCTTTTAACATTAGCATTTCAGGCCCCTAAGAAATACCCAAGGGATCCACCACAAAACCTAGAAGGTCTAAAAGGGCTCAAATGAGGGGCAGTTACCCAAGACTTCACATGATTTTTCCTACTTGGGAGAAATGGTCCCTCAGAAGATGCAGAAGAGCGCTCTCCTCTTTCACTGATGAGTGACAGCCATGACAGCTCACTGTCAACTCCGAGTGAGTGAGCATTTGCATGGTGGTTGATCTTTTTTTTCTGGTTTTTGTTTTATTGTTATTATCAAGGTGATGTACAGAGGCGTTACAGTTGCATAAGTCGGGTAATTCCTGGTACGTTTCCTTTTTGGATCATGTCATCCCTTCCTTAGCCCTCTCCCAGTTTTTCCCTCCCATCCCCACCCACAAGTAGTGGAGTTCATTTTCCACATAGTGTCCAGTGAGTACCACTGCTGTGTTTTTTTCACCCTTGGTCCTTCCATTTCTTCCCCTTTTACCCTTCCAAAGACAGATTAAATAAGGCAAAAGGAAAAGAAAACAAAAACAGCAGCAAAGGAAAAACCACAAACCTCTAGTTTCCATTTCCTGGAGACCATTTGGATAAATACTCCTTGATACGAGCAGAGGCACATAGCATTGCGCCTTTGTCTTCCTCTCCTAAGAATATTGTCCTTTGGTCTCGCCGTGCGTGGATGCCTGGGGTCCTGTATCAGTCATCACGTCCCCGTGTCGTTTAGATCTAGCTTCCACCGAGGAGAGAAAGCATGTGCCGTTTGTCTCTCTGAATTTGACTTACCTCACTTTAACACGACTTGTCCCAGGTCTGTCCATTTCCCTGCAAATGGCATCATATGATTCTTTTCTAATGGCCGTGTAAAGTTCCCTTGTGTATCGGTTGGGTGATGGGGGTTTTCATCGGCTGTCCGGGGCTTCACCCTTCCCCCCATCCTGAAACAGCAAGCATTGTCCTGGTGCGGGACTGTGCACGAAGGCTGCCATGGCCACTGTGATCGTCCTGTTTCTCTTTGTGTCCCAGGAGTACCAGCCCCGTGCCTTCTGGTTAAACATGGTAGACGCCGCCTTCCAAAGCTTGGTGTGCTTTTTCATCCCTTACCTGGTGAGTAAAGCGCCCGGCCCAGGCTTCCGCGTCCTCTGTGTCCGGGCACCCTCCGACACAGGACCTGGCGGCCTCTCCGCTGTCTTTTCAGGCGTACTACGACTCAGATGTGGACATGTTCACCTGGGGGACCCCCATCACGGCGATCGCACTGTTCACCTTCGTGCTGCACCTGGGTATTGAAACCAAAACCTGGGTGAGAGATGCCGGTCGGGTCACCGTGCCCCCCCACCCCCCAACCAGAGGGCTCTGAGGCTATGGGTCCCACACTTCCCAACAGCAGGGTTCCTTGAGAACTTCGGGTTCTTACTTTTTTTAGCAGGCAGGACAGACTGCAAAGCTGGCCTTAGTTTCATGAGAAGGAAAATGATACCTTACTGGGCTCTGCCCAGCTTTTGGCTCCTTCACACCTGCTTTTCCTTCCTTTCTCCACTACCCAGTGGGGAGGGGAGGGTAAGCGAGGTTCCCTTTACTGCTGTGTGGTCCTTACACCCCTGTTCCAGGCTAGTCTCCCAAGCCCCACCACCCACCATGGACAAAGACTACAGTCTGCCTGGTTACAGTGGCTCCAGTTTATAATCTCAGCTACTTGAGAGGTAGAGATCCTTAGGAGGATGATAGCTCAAAGCCAGCTAGGGCAAAAAAAAGTTAGCAAAAACCCAATCTCAGGAATATAGTGGCACATAGCTGGTATCTTAGCTACTTGAGAAGCATAAGTAGGGGGAATTTATGGTGCAAGGCTGGCTGTGGGTAAAAGTGTGAGACTCTGTCTGAAAAATAACCTCAAAGAAAAAGAAAGGCTAGAGGTGTGACTCCAGTGGTAGAAGGCCCTGAGCTCCAAACCCAGTATCAAAGATAGATAGATAGATAGATAGATAGATACTCAATTTTTATTAAGCCCCTAGAATATCACACCCTGTCACTGAAGACTGATATGCTTTTGTGGTCATCATTGTTTCCATCTTTTTTTTGTGCTGATAGCGGGGCTTGAACTTAGGGCCTGGGCTCTGTCTTAGCTTCTTTCCTCAAGGCTTTATCACTTGAGCCATAGCTCCACCTCTGGCTTTTTAGTGGTTAATTGGTGCTAAGGGTCTCACAGACTTTCCTGGCCAGGGTGGCTTTGAACCTTGATCCTCAGATCTCAGCCTTCTGAGTAGCTAAGGTAACTTAGGTATGAGCCACTGACAAAGACCTAAATTCTTATTTTTAACTCAGCCGTAGAATATCACATCCAAGTTCACTGATGACTGGTACATTTTTGTGGCCCTCATCATTGCCACTGTGTGTGTGTGTGTGAGAGAGAGAGAGAGAGAGAGAGAGAATCCTAAGACTTGAACTAAGGGCCTGCATGCTGTCCCTGACCTTTTTTTTTTTTTGCTCAAGGCAAAGGCTAGCACTCTACCACCTGAACCATAACTTCACTTTCAGCATCTTCTGATGCTGACTTTCCAGGTTGGCTTTGACCCGTGATCCTCAGATCTCAGCCTCCTGAGTAGCAAGGCTGACAAGTGTGAGCCACTGGTGCCCGGCATCATCGCCACCTTTTTAAGTTGACATAACAGCCCTCTCTCCGGTTCCCCCTACAGACCTGGCTCAACTGGATTGCTTGTGGCTTCAGTATCCTTCTGTTTTTCTCTGTGGCTTTGGTTTACAATGCCTCCTGCGCCACGTGCTACCCTCCCTCGAACCCCTACTGGAGTATGCAGACCTTGCTGGGAGACCCCGTGTTCTACTTGACTTGCTTCCTCGCGCCCATCACGGCCCTGCTGCCCAGGTGGGTGTTATGGGAGAGGCTGTCTCTCGCCCCCAGAGCACGCAGAGCGTCTCTGTGCTTGAGCCCCGAGTGAGCCTCCAAAAGTACACAAGCACCGCCCACCGCCGGTCTACAGTCTTTAACTTTTCATTTTTCTTCCCCCCCGCCATGCTTTTTCCAGATTGTTCTTCAGAGCCCTCCAGGGAAGCCTGTTCCCCACTCAGCTCCAATTGGGACGTCAGTCAGCCAAGAAATCCCCCAAGAAACTCAACACTCCCCAAGAAATCTTTGCTCAGGGACACCTCCCAGGAGACCCAAGAACTGAGCATTCCCAAGGGCGGACCCTGAATCCTTCCAGGTCCCTGTCCAACAATTGTGCCTCCTGCTCCCCCGAGGCCAGGGGAGAGCCCAGTGCGGTGGACACCAGTGTGCCGTTGAGAGAGAACACCCTGGTGGAGGGGTTGGGGACCCAAGCCCCAGGACCCTCCCTGCTGGGAGAAGCTACTTCCCAAGACTGTCCTGGAGACTCGAAGAGGAAATCGACCAGTGCAGGCCGGGCAGCACCCCTGGCCTCCCTCTTCAACCTCCCCAACTTCAGCTCCCTCAACTGGGCCTCCTCCTTGTCCCTGGTCAGTGGGCTGGGGAGTGTCTTACAGTTTTCCAGGAGTAGTTTACAGATGGATAAACAGGATGACGAGTTCCTGGCCAGTCCGCCGCCATCAGATCAGGACTTGCATGGCTTACAAGGACAAGTCTCTGACTATTTCTAGGGTCCTTTTTCTTTATAGAACATAGATGTTAATGTTATTTATGTTTATTATTTGCACAGGAGAGTTCTAGGGGAGATGTTATTTTTAAATGTTTCCAAGGCTTAATCCAGAGAAAGCAGAGGTACCAAAAGAAAAGTTTTATTTTTTAAAGTTCTAAATAGAGTATATTGATAAAGAAAAATAAGAGCTTTAACATATATATGTGTAAATATATATATATAAAGTTTAAAGAAGAGCAACATGTGAACAGTGTGTTGAGATTTATTTTGTTTCTCATCTCGTTGTGGAAGGAAAAAGGGCATGTTGCCTTCAGTATGGTTTCCAAGGTGGGGGTGTGAACCCCAGCTGTCAGGAGAGATGGCAGAGGGGAGGAGCATGTGGCTCCAGTTGACAGATTTCTCCACTGGCTTCCACTGGCCGTGGCTTCTCTTCAGTCAGAAAAGGAAAAGTGAGACTTCAGGAAAACTTCATGTGTCAGGTGCGTTCCAGTGCTTGATTCTATCCAGGCATTTCAGAATGATCTCCTTGTAGGTTGAACAGCCCCCATGTAGTGATTTTGGCTGATAAAGATCTTCACGTGCAATAAAGAATCATCACTTTGCAAAGAAGGTGTCTGGTCACCACTGTTACACAGGATTGTTGATCAGGTGACTTATGTGAGGTTGTATTGGAAAGTGTTAGTATTTAACTCTATGAGCCACTTCCTTATATGAAGCCTTTTGGATTCAGAAGAAAATGATATGATGATGTACAAGCCAGACTCTCTGCCCAGCCTGTTACCCCTCAACCCCAGCATTAGGCTCTTGGTACCAACCAGACTGTACCCACCTAGAGGTAGATTATTTCCAGGCATTCATCTGATGAGCCATTATTTCTGTCCATCTAAAACAAAATAAAGAAGAAAATGATTGAAAGTATAAGCAAAGTGCTGCTGGCTCACACCTGTAATCCTAGCTACTCAGGAGGCTGAGATCTGAGGATCATGGTTCAAAGCCAGCCCAGGCAGGAAAGTCCATGAGACTCTTATCTCCAATTAACCACCAGAAAACCAGAAGTGGCTCTGTGGCTCAAGTAGTAGAGCACAGGGACAGCGCCTAAGCCCAGAGTAAAAGCCTCACAACTGACAAAAAAAAAAACAACCTATAAGCATGTACATAAACGTATTATGAACATGTAAATATATGTGTCAGAGTCTGCCCAACACCCAGATAACCCTGTACTCATTAGCTATGTCCCTCCCTCCCTCTTCCTTCTTTCCTTCCCTTCCTTCCTTCCTTCCTTCCTTCCTTCCTTCCTTCCTTCCTTCCTTCTTCCCTCTCTCCTTCCCTCTCCTCTCCCCTCTCCTCTCCCCTCTCTCTCCTCTCGTCTCCCCTCTCCTCTCCTCCCCTCTCCTCTCCTCCCCTCTCCTCTCCTCCCCTCTCCTCTCCTCTCCTCTCCTCTCCTCTTGTCCCTTCCTTCCTTCCTTACTCACCCCCCACATCTCTGTCTTACCCATACACCATCTCAGCTTTTCCACTCCAGGCTGGCACTCTACCACTTGAGCCACACCTCCACTTCCAGCTTTTTTGGTGGTTAATTGGAGATGAGTCTCATGGATTTTCTGGCCCACATTGGCTTTAAACTGTGATCCTCAGATCTCAGCCTCCCAGTAGCTAGGATGACAGATGCACGCCATTGTTGCCTGGCTGTTAACATCTCTTTCTAAGGGACATCTCTCCTCCTGGGAAGGAGAAAAGGAGAAGCATCCGGGCAATGGCTTTTGGCCCGTTCAGAGAAATAAGCAGTGCAAATGGTAGTTAGCTGTTTTATAGGATGAAATTCATAGAAATAATCTCTCGCAACCAACAATTTAATCTCATAATTAATATGGGGATGAATTGCACAACTCTTACCAAAAAAGCACTAACTATTACCAAACCTTCATTTTCAAAATCAAAATTTTAACAACAATGATTATTGGAATGTTATAGATTAAGATGACCATTTCTTAGATTCGATGTGTTCACATACCTAGGAGATCCAAAGGACTAAATTAAAAGGCTCTCAGAACAATAGGAGGAAATACAGAGCCACTGAAAGCTGGCTCTGCTTTTGGTGACACTGGGACTAGTTATCTCAACTTAAACTATGTGGCTACGTGGTTCAAACTGAAAACCAAATAATCTAATGTCGTGGAGGGCAGATGCTGTAGTCGAATTTAGCGCTCAGTAAATGTTGGAGCTGTGGAAGAATGAATGGTAATCGTGAAAAGCAAAGGCCTTCCTATTAAATGCAGAGGTTAAGAAAAATGCTTGTTGTAACTCATTACTATTTAATATTTTCCAGAACTTCTGGCTAATGCAATAAGATATGAATTTTTTAAAACTGATTATGTTAGAGACTAAAAGTACCATGACATAACATTCTAAGCTAAACCTAGAAAATCCAAATGAATCAATTAAAAAGCTCTAAAAGAACTAAAGAGGAAACAAATGGACATGCTTTTAAGGAACAAACATGACCACAACTTCTCATGAGAACGAAGGTAACTATAAGGACATGCTAATGGTGATTGTGAAAGATCTCATTTGCCAAAACAATGCCAATGCTAATGCAAATTAAAATGCTGAAAATAACTCCCGGAATAGAAGCAACTGGACCAGCATTTGGGAAGAGGTTAAAGATCTAACCACAAAGATATGCCTCACTTCTAAAGGTGCTATGTTCTAAAACAATGTTTAAAGCCTTTCTTAGTGGGGGGGGGGGGGGGGAGGGGATAGTATTGATTGTGAAACTTGAACTCTGGGCCTGGCCACTGATCCTGAGTTCTTTTTTACTTAAGGCTAGTGCTCTACCACTTTGAGTCACAGTGCCACTTCCAGTTTTCTGGTGATTAATTGGAGAAAAGGATCTTATGGACTTTCCTGCCCAGTCTGATTTTGAACCATGATCCTCAGATCTCAGCCTCTTGAGTAGCTAGGATTATAGACAGGAGCCACCAGCTCCCTGGCTTGCCTTTTTCTTTATTCATACTCTTGGTACTCGAAATATTCTCTTAATATCTCCTTATATTGGATGCTGAAACGCGGGATCCAAAACCCAGGACTTGAAACAGTTCCTTACATTTGGTGCTGAGATCCAGGACTCAAAATCCAGGACTGGAAATATTTCCTAACACACCAAGCCAAATTTAATATAATATCTTAAGATCTATCTGGACCTTAGAGCAGAGATACCTCACTACAAGCTTGTGCTAAAATGGTCCCTACAGTTTTGAATGTATTGCCTATAAGTCTAACTAAGATTCTCTTCATAATTTTTGGAAGCAGACACTATAATCTTCATCCTACGCTCCGCCCCTAAGCAGTCATATTTTCTGGCCTTGTACCACTCCATCATCACAAACCGTACCGGCATATGCCTCAAGAAACACCTGTCCAGGGGCCCTTCGACCTTGTCTTACCTTTTGTGTGGGATTTGAGCTCAGGACCAGATAGATCACTGTCCCTGAGCTGCTTTGGCCCAAGGCTAGTGCTCTACCATTTGAGACACAACACCACTTCTGGCTTTTTCTGAATAGTTCATTGCTGATACACATAGACTTTCCTGCCTGGGCTGGCTTCAAACTGCAATCCTCTGACCTCAGCCTGCTGAGTAGCTCCGATGCCAGGCATGAGCCACCAGTACCCAGCTTCTTTCCATCCTGAAGTGTAGTCTCACCTAATGGCACCCAGATACCCTGAGGCTTTGTTTTTGAGTTGTCTCACTTGATTCTTATATTTAAATGTTCCCGTCTCCTTCCTCCACCCAGCATTCGCTTCTTGCGAGGAGAGTCTATAATTCTCCCGAGTGACTTGTTTAATAACTACCTAATGAATCATGGTTATCCCAAATTAGCTGGGCTGTCCATGCCATGCATCAGTGGAAGAATAAGTCAGTCCTACCGACTTCAATTCGCTGTGGTCTGCTCCCCTCTCATTATATAATCTCGTGGCCGTCTTAGGCTGGAGATGGAGGTGTGCTGCGGTTGGGCTCGCTAACATCCCTCAAGTCAAAGGCCTGGTTCTCATGGTGATGCTAGTGGAGGAAGCGGAACTTTTAAGAGGTGGGGCCTAATGTGAAGTTGCTAAGCCAATGGGGGGCGGAGCTCGGTGTCGGTGAAGGGGATTGGATTATGAGCGTGCACACCTCTCCTCCCCTCTCTCTCTTGCTTCTTGGCTCAGGAGACAAGCTCCATCATGCGTTCCCCAGTGTTGCTATCCGGCCTCCTGCCTCCCCACCCCCACCCCAAAACCAGGGGCCCCTACGATGAGTCTTTCCAATTTTAGAATGGAATAAATGAGTGGGAGAAGGGGAAATTTGACTCTCATTCTCACCCTCCCTCCCTGAGCAGATGGATTTCTCTGCTGCTGTGTGCCTGTGGACATCAGACATCAGGCCCTTCAGCTCTTGAAGGAGGATTTGTGTTCATGGCTCTCAAAGGGGCTCTCAGGCCTTCAGCCTCTGACTTGGGGCTGCAGCATTTCGTCCTGCTTGTTCTGAGGCTTCTAGCTCCTCGGGCTGAACAAGGACCGACTCTCCTGGCTTTCCAGGCTGTAGAGAGCCGTTGTGGACCTTGTAAGCCTCTCTGACCCTGTGGGCCAGTCTAAGAAAACCCCTCTCGTACATAGATTCCGTTCGTTCAGTTTCTTTGGAGAATCCTGACTAACATTGAAGGACATCAGCAAACCAGTTTGGCCAGTTTGCCCCCTCCTTCTCCAGTGGCCGGCTCCCAGGGAAAGGTCCAGCCATAACACAAGCCAGCCTTTCTACAAGCTACCACCCAGGGGAGTGCCTTGGTTCTTGCCAAGGCCAAGGTCTCAGGCCAAACCACCTCTCTTGGACCACCGCCCAGGAGACGGTCCAGCCTGTTTTAAACAGACCAAGCATGAGCCACGTCCATCACTCTGGAGAAGGTCTGCCTGAGTCAAACAGACCAATCATCAGCAGACAGATTGCCTGGAGGGCGGAGACAAAGGGAGGGGGCGAGAGGCCACACCAAGCCGCAGGGTGGGACAAGCAGTCTCCAGGTCCCCACTGCTGCTGCTGCTGCTGCTTCTGGGTGGGCTTCACTTCCTCTTTACTAAATAAACTCTTTAAAAGCGTGCTTGCCACCAGCGCCCGACACCACTAGCTTTTTTTCTCCTTTGGTTTCTCTCATAAACTGATAGCTTCTGGTCATCAGG